TTTCAAATATTTTTTTTAAAAAAATTCTTTTTTTTTAGTAGCAGTGATACCAAAGATCGTCCATTATGCTCTTTCTATTGGTAATAGCAAATCTCAGTGCTTTTTGTCATGTTTAATTTCCTATTTACCTTYTGGGCTGTAGCGAGCAAGAAATGGAGACAGAATTCTTACTCTACATAGCCTGTTTTGACCAGATTCCCATCAGAGGGTGTGTCTTTATCTTTGCATTATAAGAAGATTGAAGTATGTTGCTAGGATTTAAGGTTTCCATTAATAATTAAACGAATCATAATTGTCATTCTTCYTTTTGTGGACTGTTCGCACTATAAAAAAGATACAAAAATTTTGAGAGTAAATCCATCAGTAAATTATGATTTTGTAAGGGATTATCATTTGTCTTTACTTACTTTGTATTTTTATATTGGCATGAGAAAAATAAATATTTAATATCCCTGTGAAATGTGCTAAAACTTTTTTTTAGGTTTCCATGAAGTTAAAAGATTGGGAGTGGGAAGAGAAATTAAAATTAGTGTCTTGGAATGCAGATGAAATCTGTTGCATGAAGGCAATTTGTGTTATTTTATTGCTGTATATGCATCACATTAGCAAAATAACTGGTATCAGTAACCAGAATGACTTCTTTTTCTTTAGAAAACAGAATTTTTTATTATGCYGGCACCTTAGGAAACCTAAGATGCTTAGAAACAAGTATATAACCATTTTAATCAAACAAAAAAAAGCCCTAAATCCTTGGATTGAATTTGAGTTTGAGTTTGAATGATAACTAATTTGCAAAGGAATGGGAAGAAGAATGTCATAGGACAGCTGCTGTTGAGTGGGCACAAAGGCCTACGGTTTGCCTTCTGGTTCCTCACATCGAAAGCACTTCCCATGCWGTAGCATCCTTCTTAACATGCCTGTCATCCCAACTTTGCTTTCATTCTTTTTCTGTTCACAAGGCTGTAAATGTCATATTTGTTTTATCATTCTGTTTTGTCTTTGAACTGTCCTTGGAGCAARTAGTCAATACTGGATATTAGAAAGGCATTTAGCACATTGAAGACTCCAAATGGAAGGAAAGATGTTTGGCCTGGGAGGAGAGATGTTTTTGCAGCATGTTTTATTCATGAGCAAAAGCTGTGCTTCATTCTTCACCATCTTTCCATGATCTATACATTACTGAACCTTGATTTAGTAGGGTCTCTGAAATTAGCATCTCGTTTTGTGACTCATGATAGAAGAGGGGAGGCTGTCATTCTCATATTAATCATGCATCTAAAGGGAAGGAATGTGCCAGGAGGGAAATGCCAAGTTTCCATTGCACAGCTGTATCATTCATTTTGCCAGTGTTTTCCATGAATTAGCTTTAGCTGGTCTGCCAGGACCACAGAGCACTGGGGTTTTATATCCTTAATAATAATTTATCTGTGAGGAAAAGGAGAAGGCAGGCACAGTAGCTATCAGTGTTCTCCAGCTGAAGAAAGTCTCTTCCCCTCACCCCCTTCTTTGAAAGCCAGCTATTTTCCGTTTCAGCTTCCCTTTTAAATTAATACCCTGTGAAATCTCCGCATGTGACTTGCCTATCCTGAATTGTCCTGGGGTAAAAGTTAAGCTGTTAAAGAGAGAAATTTACTTTTTGGGTTGGTGTATTCCCCTGAATCAGGTGCTCTGGAGCTGCAGAGGCATGGCAAGACTCAAGATCTCTTTTTTCATTTGGAAGTTACTCTGATCATTTCAAATCTAAAGGATAAAGACATTTATTTAGTCAAGGTGTTAGCCCTAGCTTGGGCTATCCATGTGCAATAACTAGAAAGCCCAGCTCATGGGGCAGAACAGCCCCAGGCATCAGCACAGCCTGGGGGCAACCAGCTGGAAAGTGGCTTGGCAGGAAAGGAACTGGGCTTCCTGGTGGTCACCATGTTAAGCATGAGCCAGCCATATGCCATTTCTCCAAGGAAAKCAAATGGTATCCTGGGCTGCCTTGGAGGAATGTATGTTGCCAGCAGGTTGAGGGAGGTGCTTCTGCTCCAATACAGCGCTGGAGAGGCCTCACCTGGAGTCCCAGTCTCAGCTCCCCAGTAAAAGAGAGACACGGACATACCAAAGAGGGTCCAGCGAAAGTGAGGAAGATTATAGGGCTAATGAGAAAAAGCTGAGAAAGCTGGGACTGTTTGGCCTAGAGAAGGCTCAAGGGGAAACCTCTCAATGTATGCAAATGMCTGCAGGAAGTGCAAAGAGGACTCAACCAGGCTCTTTTCAGTGGTGCCCACTGACAGGGCCAGAAGCAATAGACACAAACTGAAGCACAGGAGATTCCTTCTGAATGTCAGGAAACACTWCTTCACTGTGAGGGTGGATGACTAAGTGTTGGCACAGTGTGCCCAGGGAGATTATGGAGACTCTATCCTTGGAGATGCAGAAATGCCTCTGGGACATGTTTCTGGTCTRGGTGGCTCTGCTTGAGCAGATGTATTGACCAGTTGAACCCCATCTGGTACTTTCCTACTTCACCTGTTTTTTCATTCTGTAATAAGCAGCGTTGCTGCTAGGAAAGCTGAAATAATGTAGGCTTCTTTTTTAACAAGGGGTAGAAAAAGTAGGATTAATGTGATGTGAGCTATACAAATTGGTGATAATTTTGAGAGTTGAAGCATATTTGTAAGATGAATGTGTCAATAATGTATTCTGAAGAGTAATGATGGTTCTACTTCACCAAAGTAACTAATTTGCCTGTGTACCTCTATCATAAAAAAAAAATCCTGAAGCAAGAACATGTGCACCCCCTCCTAAATGACTTAGGAATACAAGTATAGGTGGAACACAGGCCTATAGTGCCAAATTATTACATTTGAGCTGTTGTGTGCTCAGCTGCCAGAAGCTTGTAGTTTACWTGTAGTACCTACATCATACAGTTCTGTCCAAGATTAATGGGTGGTACCTGTGACAGTGAAACTTAGTTTCTAGCATGACAACAAAAGCAGGTCTCTGTTAACTATAGATCTATAGAAGAGTGCTTGAGAACAAGAAAATTACCTATGCTTTCAGAAAAGTGCTCATATTTCCTACTGTATATATTTGATTGACATTTGGTGAAGTTCCTGGCTTTTGTGTGTGACTTTGTGGCTATTTTAGATTGTTTTAYGACCTAAATATAACCATTTTATWTTATTTTATTTTGAAACTATTAGTTTCTGTTTTGAGATTTGAATCCTAAGAGATTGGATCAAGATTGAGGGGGAGAAACTTCTTACCCTTAGCACACACTGCATTAGATGGCAGCAGCTGTATTGCTCCCTGCTTCTCTGTTCGGCAGGCTGGCAGTGCTCAGCCTGTAACCTCAAGGTAACAAATGTGCTTAGAAATATTGGTAGAGTAAAGCAGCATGACAGAATCTATTTATTTGCCTGCTGTACACATGAATGTTGCTTTATAAGCAACCTTTATCATATGTAGTACATCTGTTTATTTAACTGGGATATAGTGTAGGTACCAGTGTCTTCAGAGGAAGAGTCTTGACCTTAAGAATGATAGCTTGAAGAAGGATACTTCATGAGAAGATGTCCTTGTTAGCCCTGAACTTCAGTCTTGRTGGTGTTCCAGGCACGTCTGAAAGAACATTCAGTTGTGTCAGTTTAATCTCTGTTAACACAGATGGTTGAAAGGAAATTCTGCTGTGTTTGATTACACACTGTATGATCATGCCACTGTCAGCTCTATTTAGAGATGTTTTGTTAATGTGATTTGAGAATTAATATATTAATTTATATATTAATATATTAATGAGCTAGCATAGAACAGAAAGTAAATTGGAACTTCTGCAGGGAAAAGAAATGGATAAGATTTATCTTATGTATAATTAATCTGTCACTAGAAATCACTAAGGCTTTTAGTTTAGTTTGTCAGTAAGTCCMCACCTTCCCCTGTACAACATTTTAGACTGACTTWAAGRACAAAAGTTGTAACTCCTTACTTCACTAACTTCAAATATGCCTTGTTCTTTGTAGTACAGACCTCTTGTCCTTCTGAGTTGGGATCTGTTGGTTTTGATGATCTGCATTTTTGAGAAAGAGCATGTTGGCATTGACTTCCTTGCTTAATACCTCTTCYTTTATTTTTTAACATGACTAATTTCAGACAGGATAAGTGAATACCAAGATTATTGACTTTCTGTTGGTTATATYGGGGGCACTTTTGGAAAGAAAGTAAAGGCCAAGTTTGGCCTAATGTATTTCAAAATGAGATTATCTGGCTTGTTGCAAAGGAACTGTAAATGTGTAGTTTGATGTTGGGGTTTCTAAAACACTTCGGGCATTYCAAGTGGAATTGGACATAAACTAGTAGCAGTCATTTGTATAAATTAGTTAACCTTATAAAGTGAAGCACTTTGAAAAGAGGCTGAAATAATTTTCTTTTGTGTTTCYACCATAATAGGAAACAGAATTAGATATGCTATGGATGTAAATGTCATACCTGTTTGGCAAAAGAGTGTAGTTATTTGCAAAAGCACTTAAATTACTCGAGTGTTAAGAGATTTTCTGACCTCYAAACTGTGTAAAAGTAATTTGTACTTGCTTAGCCTGGTTGTCACTCCTGTATCAACACTCAGTTTCTGATACTCTCTTGCTGGTGTACATAYGATCTTAGGTGACTTGTTGGGGACATGGATTGGAAGTGCATACATGACAGTAGTTTTCCTAAGATAATTTGTTTGCAGTACTCTGTTTTTAAACAGCATCTATTTTGTCCTTTCAGTAACAGAGTTCCTTAAAAAGATAAGCTGCAGCWATGATTTAAGTGTATTTTTTCTTCACAGGATACTTACACAGAACATATTTTTTCTAAGCCATGGCTTTGTATTTATTATTGAAAAAATATCTGTAGTTTTTCTGAAATGTTTGATGCTCAAAAAAATTCATTATCTTTGTGCCAAATTTCCCTGAGCACTTGTCTTTTTGATAAAGGTATTTTAGAAAGAGTGTTTATTTTCTTGTTTTTTGTAGCAAATTCTGAAATCGAGGTCTCTGTGTCTGCGAGAAATGTGAGAAGGTTGCTTAGTTTCCAGCGATACCTGAGATCTTCCCGCTTTTTCCGTGGTATCACTGTTCCAAATTCTTCAAACATTTTAGATGATGATTATAATGGACAAGCAAAGGTTGGTTGCTTCATTTATTTTTGTTTTTTAATGCTATATATGTAAACATATTGTTGCTAAAAGTGCAACCAAACACAAATTATAAGCATAGTTTTTTATGTATGTGTGCATGTATTTTTTTGTGTATTTATAGTTTATATATAAATATAAACTATATTTATATCCAGACAAAATTAAATTGTTTGTAGCAAACTCTTCTACTGCCCACAGGTTTCCTCAGATGGTTTTATTTGGCTAGTGGTTTTAGGTTTTTTTTTGTTTTGGCTTTTTTTTTGTCTTGTTTTGGGTTTTGTTTCATTTGTTTGGGGTTTTCGTTTTGGTTTGGTTTTGTTTTTTGTTGTTTTTAAATAATTCATGAATTAATGATGGCCTAGAATAATCGAAGGAAAAAATGGAGAAAGGAAAACATACCTRTATTTAAGAGATGTAATGGAGCAATTTGGACAACTATTCCCTTTCATTTTTAGGCTAAGCTTACTATTGAACAACTGGATGAGTGAGTGGCTAAACTCAATAAAGTGCAGTAAATGGATTTCTCAGGATATWCTTATGCCAAACTGACTTTTTCTTTGGTTGGCACTTCTTCTAGAAAAGAAAAGTGATAGCTGTAATGCACTTGTGCACCACTAAAGCAGGGAAAGCAGACACTGGCAAAAGAGGTGGTGCTAAGGGAGCTCCTACCTGGATGAAGGCTGCTGTATTGGCAACAGAGTATGGATAGTGCTGAAGGGCACTGAGCAAGCAAAGATTATTCAGGTTATTCAAGATCCCAAAGGCTGTCACTGCGTGTAGTGCTTTTTTGTCATCTTGACACAGAAAAAGAATATACTTATAATACAGTGGATGTATTATCCATCCATACATACAGACGTATCCCTGCTGGATACAATCAGGCTGTGGTATAGGAAGAAATCTGTTAACCTGGAGGATGGTTCTTAAAAATGTACATGTGATTTAACTGTAAAAAGGTATTGTTAATGCTCTTGTTTCTTCAGATAGCAGTTTTAGCAGCTGGTAGAGAAAAGCTAGAACGTATTATTGGATCACAAAACAGCTCAACCAATCTAATGAGAATAGCAGAAAGCAGGAGTCTGTTGTAAAATGTGCTGRACCAGTATTTCTAATAGAGATAGGGGAGGCAAAGACTGGACTGCTTATCTCTGGTGAGGCCTCATGTACTGTTTGCTGTTCTCRCTCATTCCTGTGGTGGGAAGAACGGTTCATGTGGAGCAGTTGAGATATAAGGTGTGCTAGTTCAGTGAGGTGAAAAGTCAAAAGCCAGGTTTTGAAATTAAAATGTTCATATAATGGCTCAAATAGCTAGTGAATCATCTAGATACTATTCTATAAGCAGGGGAAAAAAGAAAACAAGTAGAAAGACTACACAGAGTTTAATTTGCTAGTCTGAATACACTGTCACTCAGTGACATACTCTTTCTGATTTGAATTTAATTGCTTTAAATTATCTTTTGAGAAGTTCTAAAGGTTGAAGGATAATCTGCATCCAGTTCTGTTGAGGCACTTAYTGTTTGGTTTTTYCTCCTTTTTTWRATTTGTAATGTGTAAGATTTTTCAGTGATCAGACAAATTTAATTATTCTTTTACTATTYTTTTGTATGTAAAAATTCTAAAGACTTGATCTGTCTCTGAAATCTTAAATACTGCTTGAGCTACAGGAAGATAGGCATATACTGATTAAAAATGACAGCTTTTGTGTTTCCTTTCAGTGTATGCTGGAGAAGGTTGGAAATTGGAATTTTGATATTTTTCTTTTTGATAGACTGACAAATGGTGAGTTTGCTTTTYGTATTTCATTTGTGTTTATCTTCTAACATAACTGTTGCCCTTATGTTGCAGTATATGATTGCTTGTTCACTGAAATGTACAAATTTCATCAGGTAGTACTGTTTGATTTAATAGTCTTTCATCTAAGTCCTAGTTTGCCTGGTCACTCCATTAAAATAATGATACACTCAGTGCTGGTAATAGTAATTGATTTGTAGAAGAGGCACTTGATGTACTTTATAGGTTGCTGTTCTCTCTAAGTAATTTGATACAAATTAACAATTTTACAATCCTGGACTTTTTTTTTCCAATTATGGGGTGCTGGTAATTTTTATGGTTGTGTACAAAAGGTCATTTATATTGAACAAGTMTTTTTCTGATAAATCTAATGTTAGATAGAATAGTTTTAATACTTTCTAGTGCAATAAGAGGCATGTTGGTATGAATGCATTATAATTACGACATAGAGCACCTGGAGAATTGGGAGTTCAGCAGAGGGAGGCTGCTGTACTCATAGCTTGCCTGACATAGAAAAAGGAAGATAACATTATGGTGACTTTTGYGTGCCCATTACAAATAGTGGTAGAAACTACAGATGAAGTTGTTAAAAAAAAAAAAAGCCCCCTAAGTATTGTTTAATTTATGTACAGACAGAAAAAAAGATCTGTAAATGTTCTGGGAAGGAGGAGAGAGGGCTGCTGGTGAAGTTTTGCCTTATCTCAGCAATGGCAGCTGGATTTTTAACAGAATGAAAGGAGGAGATGAGCAAGTCTAACATCACAGTGACATTTGTGCCAGAGTGGAAAGAGAGTGCAGAGCAGATCTTGCAGGTTTTGCAGCAGTTGTGTAGTAGGTAGTAGAGTTGCAATTAGAGTGTTTGAAATTGCCAGAACAAGAAACTAAGTTTAAAAAGGAAAATGTGGCACCAAAAGATCCTTTTCTTTCCTGTTTTATTGCAAGGATGCTTGGCTTAAACAAATGTAAAAATAGTAATCTCACAATTATATTTAATACAGAAAATGGGTAGAAAAAAATGAAAATAGCAAGGACTTGTAAAAATACCCAATGTTCATATAGATAATGGTAAACTTTACATAACTGAATGAAGAAAAGCCATGTGTACAAGTTAACATGTAAGCATAGCTTCTTTTGGATTAGTTTGTCACATGGGAGAAATCGGAAGTAATCCTCCTTAAAAGAGCCTCTCTTTTATATATGCTTTTTTCCTAATACATTTAAGGTACTACCAGGAGAGCTTCTATTGTAGAAGCCTTACGATATCGCCATGCATTTTGTATCCTAATTAAATCATGTTAGGAGGACATTTTGATCAGGCAGCCTTGTTCTTGAGAGATGTAAAGGCAGAATGCTGTGTATAAAACTCTGCTGGATGAGCTGCCCTGGATGAACCTCTACGAAAGAATTTACCCAGTAAATGTTGTTCCAAGAATTAATATTTCATTGTGAAGAGGTGGCATGTACATGAGAATACATTAATTCTAGCCTAGTATTAAGCTAGATTTRGAAGTTTTGTCTTTTGTACATCAGTTTTAGTCTGTGCTAGGCTCAGTAATGCTAAGTGAAGATTGTCAGCCATGACATACTGTTTACAGAGCAAATAATGGGCAATCTATTTCAAATAAACAGTATGGGCCATTTATSTTAGTTTTACTTATTTTACCACAAAAGATTATAATAAAGTTATGAGTAGATGAAATATAAGCTTGCAATGATATATGTTTTGAAATAAGGAGAAGTCCAACAAAACAAATGATGCAAATGAGAGCATATTTGCAATGTGTGCTAATCAATAGTCTTGGCTAGCTTTTCTCTTTGCCTGATTATATTTGTATTTTGTATGTGTGTTAGTGATATGTTGCATAAATATAATTATAAAGCTGAACATCATTATAATGGGTWTGCCTGTTTAAATGGGTTGATTTTTTTAATGTTCAGCAACATTGATAACTGCCATTGGACAGTTGGTGAATKAAGAAAAACCACTGGTGATTACTAGAGACAGCTAATGGAAACTTGTCATGGAGTAAGATTTAAATATTTATCATGAATTGGTGTAGAGAAATTTGCTTGTATAATTTTTGTGACCAATTTGTTTGAAATAATACATTTCTTACGGAAGAATCACTGATTTCATGGCTTCCAATGAATTAGTATTTTCRTTTTATTTTTAGGAAACAGTCTAGTCAGCTTAACCTTTCATCTGTTTAATCTACATGGACTCATTGAACACTTCCAGTTAGATACGATGAAACTTCGTAGATTTTTGGGTAAGTACAGCTTTTTATTTTGGTGAATATTGCTATTTATGTGTATTTTTGTACCTTAACTGAAGTCTTGGTTGTAGTTTAGCAATAAGGTTTGAAGGGTACTGATGCAGTCTGCATTGTGCAGTGATTTAAATGATATTGAGACGATCTCTCAAAGTTTTTATGAGTATAGAGTTTTCCATGTTAAATCCAAACAATTATTAAYAAGTTTAATAGTTTCATAGCTGATGCTGTATTATATTAATTAAGTCTATTTAATATCTATTAAACAGTCAGGAATATATGTGACATTGTGTGACATTCGTATTGGGAAAGRCTAGACAGCTCCTTTCTTTGTTCTTATTTGCAGTTTTCTATATTTGCAATTTGCAATTTGCAATTTCTGTATTAATCTTTACTTTGTCCAATGATATAGTTTCCTAACTGTATGGAATATGTCAACTTGGCCATACTTTCTGGTGCCAATTTGATATTATCTCTGCRTTGCTCAAACTTTCCTACAAATAAGCATTGTACTGTGGACGTAGTCTCTCCCTAAACAGAGTACAGGACAATTTTAGTTGAATATTTGGGTCTGTGTCACTGGAATGCTTATGTGGAAAGTATCGTAAATACAGTGYAGAATATTCACACCAAGTGGTAGATTTCACTCAACAGAGTTGTCTGCATCCCACTACCATGGACAGGTGCTGGTATGAGACCTCCTTCTTTTGGTTCTTTCATGACAGTATCTTTATTTTTGTGAAGTGGGATGATTTTTTTAACTGAGCAGGAGAGACAAGTTTCTGGTCCCTTTCAGTAGGCTCTCATAGTTTCAGAGAAAACAATRCTTTGGTTACAAAGCTTGACAGTTAACAGGGGAGAAATCACATTTGAGAGGCTTTTCTCCCCCTTCAAGCAAGAGAATGTTTTTGTTTTCATAATTTAGTTCTCTTTCAACTTAAAAAATGAAGTTCTGTCTTGCATTTCATGTTGTTTTAAAGTAGACTAAATTTTCTCCAGTTTCAGAAATGTTATTCAGCTGACCTTAATGACTGATGCGTTGGAATGTGAGGAAAATTATTATAGAAATCTGKTTTTGGGCTACTCGAGTTCTAACTCAATGTGGTTTTTCTTTCTCATCTGATTGGTTGAGATTAAGCAAATACTCATACTTGAAAGGAAAGGACATTTAGAAATGACTGGATTAGTTAACTGGTTATCAAAAGATGAGAGTTTTAACTAAATATGACTACTTAAAGTCATAATCCACTAAAATGAGATTAGATTTTGAAGAAGGCAAACTTTATTTCAAATTTAAAATTCACCACTTTTCACTTTTTGGTAATGCCTTCTAATATATCTGTAATTAAATAAATTCTTCTAAATAAATCTGTAATATCTGTAAAAAGCTCTGTCTTAGTCCATCCTAAAATCAAAAAMCCTTTCTTTCAAATACAGCTTCCTAGCATTAACACAGTTCGTTCTTTTCTTTTGCTTCCTCTTATACTCTAATCCAGAAGACTAGGACAGCTTAAATCGTCCAGTGCCACATAAAATTCACATTATATGAGAATTTACTGGCATCTTTTTAAGCAAAGAAATTTGATTTTAGTCCCTGTAGGATCTCAAGATTTTTTTGGTGTATGTGTGTATACATATATATATACACATATATACACACACATACACACACACACACACACACACACACACACACACACACACCCCGAGTCTTTTGGTGATTTCCATTGGCTGCTTGGAGCATCTCCATCTTACTGTGTTATTCCAGACCTGACGGGGCGGGGGGAATGCGAAGTACTACATTCCTGAAAACAGAACTGTTGTGCTATTCTAKTTCTGGTAAATTATGATCAAAATGTTGATCTAAGTCTGCTTGATTAAAATAAGTAAGTTAGGAAAGTTGTAGAGTTCAGGTAGCTGGATCAGCTGATGAAGCCGCAAAAAAATTAGGAAGAAAACCAGGGATATATGCRTTCATGCACTGGATGTGAGGATTAGGTGGGAGAGAGTTCTACTTCAGGTTAAAAGAGCCCAAAAACATTTATATTGATTTCCATTATTTTTCCTATGAGTTGTCAGCTATGAATTGAGTACTATTGAGATTATATGATGGTGACAGTATTTTGACTTCATGAACCACAGCTCTTCACAAACAYCCCATTAGTAAYGCWSTAACATTACARTCACAGTTACATGGCTCCTTTGGGCTTGTAAATTGAGTAGAAAAGAGGCTTGTGGGCATGTTTGTTTGATGGGACTGACAGACTGTAGTCAGACAGGAAAATGTTCTTTTGAGGTTTGTTTGGAAGAACCAAGGTGTCGTGTTAGGCAAAACTTCAGAATATAGCTTGATTGCTGTCCTTTAGATCTCCTTCCCTTCCATCCTTTTTAACATAGTTTTTTTCATTCCACGTACTTGAGCTAATGTTGATGGCCTTAAAGAATTCAACCTGTGATGCTCAAAGGCAACCAGGAAGATGGAGGAAAGAGGAGGAAAGCAATGAAGTTGTTAAATAGGGAATATGTAATCTAGGTGTAAAAAGTCAGACCATGATCTAAATGAGATTCTTCTCAAAATTGCAAAATTGCATATGGGCTTAAGCTTGCCTGAGCACAGGTATGAGAAGATGCCTAAAAATATGTASAGGAGGTTTTCCATGACAGGAAAGCAGTGCCTAATTGTTCTAAAATCCTGACTGTTTTTTAAGTCATGAAGTCATCTTGATAGTTTGGTAAATAGCATAATTTTCATTTTGTGTTCARTGTTGTCTCACCATGCAAACAGACTAGATTGTCAAAGGCAGCCTTCCCTGGGAAGTTCTCAAAGTCAGAGTATCTCAGATAGTTGTTCAAGTTGTTTAATTTTTGTTCTGAGATGACTTTATGTCTAGTTCATTTCCTTTAGCAAACACTGTTTCTGTGCATAAAAATCTTATAGCTGGGTCGTGGTTCAGCTGAYGATTTATTGACTGTGATGCTTTTATGTATATGTAATTTGTGATATTGCATATTTCTGTGCCTAATGGGGCATATAAAATGGTCCTTGAAAAAATTGCAATTTTATTTAAATTTGGGTGTTGGTTATTTTCCTGCAGTTATGGTTCAAGAAGATTATCACAGTCAAAATCCTTATCATAATGCAGTTCATGCTGCTGATGTGACTCAGGCCATGCACTGTTACTTAAAAGAGCCCAAGGTAAGGGAGCAGTCTCACTTTTACATCACACATATGTATATAAATGTGTGTTTGTGTGTATATGTACATGAAYGGATTGCATGCACATGTCACAGAATYRTCTAGTTTGGAAAAGACCTCTGAGATGAGTCCGACCCGTGACCCAACATCATAGTGTCAACCAGGACCAGGGTGCTAAGTGACATGTSCAGTCTTTTCYTAAACACCTCGAGGGGCAGTGACCCCACCACCACTCTGGGCAGCCCATTYSAACATCTAWTCACTCTTTCCATGGAGGAATTCCTCCTAATGTCCAATCTAAACCTCCCTTAGCACAGCTTGAGACTATATCCTCTATGCTTTGCTGGTTGCCTGGGAGARGAAGCCAAACCCYRCCTGGCTGCARCCTCTTTTCAGGCAGTTCTAGAGAGCAATAAGGTGATATATCTATATATATACATACATGCACACATATGTGTATATGCACCTAACCCTTTTTATTCAAAGTAAAGAAACCTTAGAAGCCAACAAGAAACACATTTGAATTCTCTTACTCCCTGTTGCTGAGGCAGGCAAGGGTTCACRTTTAGCAGTATGCTTTTCTTTTTTCCCTTCTTCTGAGCTGACACTGTCTTTTGGGTGTCTTCCTGTTAAACAGGAGCAGGGACTTAAGGTTGCAGCTGTTTAACATAGTGGTGTGACCCAAGACGTTTACATAGAATTGCAGCCTGAGTCAGAGCTGGCAATAATAAACCTGTGTATTGTCATTTGGTGTGGGTTTTCTTCCTCCAGAAACTCCCATTACCTTTGCTATGCTCATCTTTAATGTTACTGAATAGTTTGCTTCTACAAGAGGCAGTTTATATCAATAGGTCGGGAGTTCTCTTTGGCCTTTCTTTTTAAGAAAGGGCAGAGTGACAGACCTTGAGAAGCTGAAGTAGTTGAGTATTTGTTCCTTACTACTTGTACTGCTGTCAGGCTGCTGTAAGTGATCTTGGACAATTTCAGGGCTAAGTCCTGTCCTTCTGGTATTAAATTSAAAGCTGTAGTGCTTTGTATCTAGATGAGAAGTTGTCTACCTTGATGCAAATTATCAGCAATCTGGTATTCTCTTGAAGAGCATGGCTCCTTATTCTGATTCTGAAGTAAAATTGAGTAAGTTTTGGCTTTTTCAGACTCTTTGCCCACTCCTCCCACTCAGTTTCTCAGTGCTTCTCTCAGACCAATTGGTGCAGTGAACCAGATCAGARCTGATACATGATGAGCTTTTTTATGGCATTCAGTTTGGAGGCTCTGAGCATTTTTTATTTAATACTCGTGATGAAAGTTTTGTAATGTTTCAGATACAAGTATAGACTTTGTATTTTTAGTAACAGCTATAGTTCAGTGTGCTGAGCTACAGCTCCATTGCACCAAAATACATTATAAACATGTGAGGCGTGATGGATGGYAAATGCCACAGGGAATATAAACTTCTGTCCTTGCAGGGTGTTTGCTGCATTTCACCTTTATGTGGGCAGAACTGTCCTTTCTGTTTTAGTGCAAACTAGGCTTTATTACTGAGTTTAACTCTCAAACCTCTCAACCACAAATAGGAACAGCTATGAACAAAGAAAGTGAGTCCATGTAGATGCATGCTGAGTTCATTGACAGGCATATTGAAATATTTATTTGTGGCAGATTTTCCTCCTTTGGCTCTGTTGCTGGTAGACCTTGRAATACAATTTTGTGTAAGAGTAGATATCCATTCTAARTAGTTCTAAGTCTTCCAGAGTTGGTTTCTTCCTCTTAGAAGGAAAGGTTTTCATGCTTTTAAATACAGTATGAATTTAAAGCAGAATTGACACATACAATTGGACTTGGTAAATAAGAGGGAGAGCCAGTTTTAAGAATTTGCTGCTTTTATGGGGTGAGGTTAGGAATGGTGCTTCATTACCAGATGTAAAGTAGAATTTTGTCTGCTGGCATTTTTTAAGAGTGAACCTTCCCATTTAGAAAGAATAATGCTTAAACATGTTAAATGCTGTTTAGATTTTGTAGCTTTTGTGGAGGGGGGGAAATACTGTGAAGAGTCAGTGAAATATTAGTTTTACATCTTGAAAATTTTCTCCAAAATTTGATTGGCTAATAATCAGTAAAAATCAAAAATACAACACTAAAACACTTTTTCTAAGGACACATTGCATTACCAATACTAACATTTGTTGGTTTTGCCTTGCAGCTTTCCAAATCTTTAACTCCATGGGATGTACTGCTCAGTTTAATAGCAGCTGCCACACATGATTTGGATCACCCAGGCGTTAACCAACCTTTCCTAATTAAAACAAACCATTATTTAGCGACTTTATATAAGGTAAGGACAAAATCAGTTATTTCTTTAAAACTGTGTTTGGAGAGGAGTGTAGAAAAGGAGTACTAATTGTGATGTGTTTAGCTAGTGGTAGGATTGAGTCCAGACATTGTTTCCATGTCAGTGGAATTAAAAAATGTGCAAATTAACAAAGTGTTTGGGATTTGTGAGTTTTAACCTCCTTAGGAGAAAAAAAGGAAGAAAATGAAACACCAACCCCAAAACACAGTCAAACTGTCTGGTGCTGTTCTTGGTATACAGGTCTTCAGTTAAGAAAAAGCTATTAATTGATATGTGTTATTCCCTTTTAATTCACAGAATACCTCAGTATTAGAGAACCATCACTGGAGATCAGCAGTGGGGTTGCTGAGAGAATCTGGTTTATTTGCACATATGTCATTAGAAAACAGGTATGTTTATACCAATAATATACATTGGTTTGAGATGCAAGCAATCTGTCACTTAGCTAAGACAGCCCTGCAAAACAAGATAAGTTATTGAATGGCAGTTTTAAATACAAAATGTAGAGATCTATTTTAAGAATCCCTGGATACTGTGCTGGTAGAGTAGAGCAGTTCATGGTGCAATGTGATATTCAGAAAATAACATTTATTGTGAGCACATTGAAGAAGTGTATTCATGTAGTCAAGCACCTGCTCAGATTAAATTTGGCAGTCTTCTCATTCTGCCACCACAACTGTAGTTTAAAATAGACCATCTTCACCTACTCTTTACAAGAAATAATCTTGAGACCATTAATTCGTGCATTTTAAAGAAAAAAAAAGAAGGGAGGGGAAGAAAAAAGCTAAAAACTGTTTTAGTCTTYCCGAAAGCTGCCAGTGGAACATCCTGGTATTTCTGTGAATATTGCAAGAACCTTTCAGCAAAAGAAAACAAACAGTTTAGTGAAAATGCTTATTATAAAGCTTGTATTTGTATAATAATAAGTATGATAAAARGACATGTAAATCTAATGATGACTGTTGTTCTTCACTGGATATGCTTTTGAATGTTTGGTGCCACTAATTTCAGGCAGCTGATGGAGAGCCAGATAGGTGATCTCATTCTTGCCACAGACATCAGTCAACAAAACGAGTACCTGTCCATGTTTCGATCCCATTTGGATAGAGGAGACCTATGTTTAGAGAACCCAAACCATCGTCACTTCATTTTACAGGTGATCTTGCTGGTCATTTTCTTGGAAACGTCATTTTAGTGTAAAAACTAATTTACTTAAAAATACTAAATACTACTTCTGCCAGGCTTTTTCCTCCTTTCAAAATAGTAGAAAAAGTAGTTCAAAAAGTAGCAGAACTATCTTTTAGTCTTTCTGTTTCATTACAAGAAGGTTGTTCACTTCAGTTCCCACCCCCAGCACTTCTCCCGAGTGATGGTGTGTGTTGGTGAGTCTGATAACCTAGAGCCGCTGAAGTGAGATGTTTCCAAGATGAGGTTTAGCTCTTCTAATGACTCCATTGCAGCCCCAGAACTGTGAAATGCTTTGTCAGAATATATTTTGGGCAAGGAAAACACTGCTGTTGTGAATCAGTTTGCAGCTGTGCTAGTGAGCTTTTTAGGAAATGTTRAAAACAAAAGCCTTGAGATTCTTTTTAGGTTTATGGGCATTTTCTTACTAGGTTCATAATGTGGGCTGTAAGAGAAAGTGGACAAACAGATGAGAAGTTCTGTCTTGTGCAAACCATTGCTAAAAATACAAGCTTCAGAGCCAGAAATGGAAAATACTGCTTGCTTGCTTTGATGTTTCTTTTTCTGAATTTATTTTTGGCTCCTGTACCAGTGAGTATACTAAATATAGTGGCCCTAAAATAYTTTGAGTTGACTGAATTTCCATATTACTCAGGGATGATCATGAGATCTCACAGTTCCCTGAATGTTTTTTAAATATTACAGAACATAACTTTGGAGCACAAATGGTAGGTAGGCTTGTTATTCACAAAACCTAAAATAATCTGCTATCAGGAACTGAGTAATTATGGGCACTTCTGTTGAAAGAAAGGTGATCTAACACTGTGTGTTGATTTGTTAGATGGCTTTGAAATGTGCAGATATTTGTAACCCCTGTCGGACGTGGGAGCTGAGCAAGCAGTGGAGTGAAAAAGTAACAGAGGAGTTCTTCCATCAAGGCAAGTAAGAGTAGAAGTATCTGTTGATAAAACATGTATTTAGTGTGGACAGAGCATCCATGAGCCTTAGTCCATTTTTATTTAGAACTAACAGAGATGTACAGTGCAGGATGGATTTTTTTTTACTTTCATGGGTTGTATTTCCTGCAAAAGGTCAGTTACTAAAACTCAGCAGTGAATCTGAACCTAGACTGGCTGGTGCAATACATCCTTCAGATTAATAATTATGGCCACTTAAAAATTGCCCTAGTGGTTTTGTTWAATTGTGCAATATGTTCATCATGTGTCTTCAATATTTAAACTTAAGCTGTGAGGCCTGTTGGTAAGCAGGTAAGAGCCAGGGAGATTTTTAGTGACCAATGTGCAGTTTAGACTACTCATGTAAGCAGTTAATAAAGCWTGTAACTGACAAATGGAGTGAATTTTCTCCATTATTACATTGTTCTAATGATAAAATTAAGGCTAGTTTGATGGACTTGAGACCTGCTAATTTGCATGTGAATTTGATAAATGGGGAAACAGACTGCTTTATTTTGGTGCTAATCATGTGAGACTTAATCTTAGATGAAGATGATGGAGAAGCAGAAACATAATTGCCTTTAGTGAGAAATTTCTGAAGGCTAAGCTATCCTCTTCCATATTGCTGAGGGGGGATTAATTTGTCATTTCTATGACAGTGTAGGAGGTTTTGCAAGAAAGAGCATGTTAATCCTTCAGGAAACCTGTGGTTCTATGTGGTTTCTTTAATTACTGATTTAATTTTGATGAAAAATACAAAGTATTTCAATACAGTAGTTATAAGTACTGCTAGTCTCACTGACAGATCTACTTGGTTTTTTTGGGAGATGGGAAGAGAAGTAAATACATTCTACCAAATGCAAGGCACTATCATTGTTAACCAACTTGCACACCTCACCCCTGTTAGTGTTTGATTTGGTTGGGACTTGATGATTTAATGGTTCTATTATACTTCTGTTTCTTTAGGTGATATTGAAAAAAAATATCACTTGGGAGTGAGTCCACTTTGTGACCGACAGACAGAAACTATTGCCAACATCCAGATTGGTAACTGCAATTCAGTTTATTTCAGTAGATTTCTTTCAGAATTTGAAAAAAGCTCTTTTTGGATAAATGTCCTAGAGGYTGAACATGCTATGTGTGTGGCAGTACTTTATCATAAAGAGCAATTTTATTTTCATTTGCTATGTAACATTTCTTGAATTGCTTATGAGCGGTGCTGCACTTACACTCCTGGAGCCCCTCTGTTTCCTCAWGGAGCAGGTACAGCATGGGAGGCAGTGTCTTGACTTCTCCCATGCTGCTCCTCATCTGAACTGGGTATTTGGGGAAGAGGAGGTTCCCTTCCCCTTGMCATGTGGTCTTGGGTGCCTTTTGCAGTGAGCTTGCCACAACTGGGCTCCAGCAYGCTGGATTTAGCTTTTTGGAATGTCAGCATTGCCTTTCAATGCAGCCTTTAAGGAGGGTGCTGGGCAGACATGTAATGGAGAATGGTGGATAGCCATTATATTAATAGTTTTTGCTAGCATGACTTGGATTTAAATAGTAAAATGTCTTGTTATAGTTATTTTAATAATAATTACTTATGCAGGTAAAGCTGGACTCAGTGTAGTAAAGAACTAACTACAAGCACAATATGAATTAATGTTTTAGAGTGACACAAAAGCTGATGTGTTCAATCAGCTGCCCTGTTTTAATTTAGAATGCTAGGAAATCATATATTTCTTTAATTGAAAGATTCAATTTTGGCCATCTTACCATTGAATTTTTTTGTTTCATGGAAATAGACATTACAAATAAATGAACATGTGCATACACACAAACAACTACATCAATATGTTGTTTTGTGACCTTGCTTAAAAAAATTCTAAAATTTGTATTTTAAAGCATTTAAAGCATTTTTAGTCACCTTAATATTGTGAAAATAATGCACTTTCCCTCCTTCCRTATCATATATTCAAACGCTCTGTAGGGTAATAAGTTATAAAATCTTTTAGAAATTTAGGATTGTGTGACTTAGTTGCTGACTAAGATTTCGATTTCTCTTMCCCTCCATATTGTCTTGTATTTTTCTTTATTTGTTCATTGCAGTGAAAGAAAGAAGGTTGATTTATAATGGAGTGTATTGCTGTTCTTCTGACTGATTACTAAAATCTTTTACATTTTGAGAAGTTTTTTGTGAAGATGCCCTAAATATTGAAATTAATATTTAAGTGCATGTTGGAGAACAGTAGTTAGACACATTTATTTTTTGCTACTAAATTCTATTTAAAATATTTGGTTTATTTTTTTCTCTGTATTTTTATTTTATTTCATTTGGCTCTATTTGCTTGTTTTTGAAGGTTTTATGACTTACCTAGTGGAACCACTGTTTGGGGAATGGGCCCGGTTTTCCAACACCAGGCTGTCACAGACAATGCTCGGCCACCTGGGACTGAACAAGGCAAGCTGGAAGGGAGTGCAGAGGGAACAGTCTGGAARCGCTGATGATGTTGACCCCACTTTTGAGGAAATGGACTCAGACATTTTACCTCAGGAACCTCGATTGTCCTGACCTCAATCTCCATGACAAAACTGCCTCTTCCCTYGGTATCTGCACAGTTGGATTAAAGGAGACACATGCCAGCCCAAGGTTTTGGTAAAATGGTAAAATGATGCCAGCATTATTTATTTCCAAGTTTTCCTTTGACACAGACCATTTGACCCAGAATTTTTTTAAGCCGCCAGATCTGAACATAGAGCAATATGCACCCGCCTCAGTTGGTTGTCGTTCGGAACCTCGAATATGCAAAGCACAGCAGTGACTGAGCCTTGGAGCAACGGGAYGAAAGCTTCATTGTGCCACATGGCTTTGGTTTTCTCGTGGTATTTGRAATACGGTCTTCAAATCTAAGACTTGACATGGATTGTTCCACTYCCTTGGAATTTAGCAAGACTTGCATAAATGTGTTCAAAACATACCTTCCACTCAGTCCCTGTTTTAATACGGAAATGTGAAGTGCCCATCCTCTGCTGCCTCTGGCAAGACTTGATGTTTACAAATGTACTCTGAAACTATCGGTTCTAGACTTAACCTTTGCGCATGGCTGTGAAGGAACCACTAACCTGGGTTTTTTGCTTTTTTAAAAGAAAAAGATCAAATCTGAGACTGCAGCTCTTGTTTCTTTGGATGCCAGAAAAGCCTCCCATTTGCCATAATTTTGTTTGTGCACTGGGAACTGAGCATTCATCCTAAGAGCACAGCCAWGCTTTACTCCAGTGCTATATGGGAATGCAATTTTTTAACAGCGAAAAATCACTTCTGAATCTGGGAAGGGAAGGGGGGTGGGAAGCGTCCGAACTGCATTGCGATTCTGCAGTGGGAACATTGCATGTTGTTCTCACTATTGTACACTTGAACTGCACATGCAAGAAAAAGGTGGAATGTCCAAACACCATAATCAGCTCAGGGTATTTGCCAATCTGAAATAAAGTGGGATGGGAAGCGTGTCCTTCAGAACAAGGGTACAAATGCCCCTTTCGCTGCAGCGTGTGTGTATGTGTGGGTGTGTGAGTACGTTTGGGACGGGGGAGGGCGGGAGGGCGTGGGGAAGGGTTTGAACGGCAACATTTTTTCTTTTTGTTTGTTTTTTTTCTTTTTAATTTATTCTTTTAGAATGTGACAATTTCATGAACAGCCACACTGGGGAGGAAACTGTAACAAATTGCTACAGATGCCTTAAACTATGCACAAAGCTAAGTGACCAAATTTGTTTTTGATTTGAAAAAAAAAAAAAAAGTGCATTGTTTACGTATTCCTCCCTCTACTGAAACATTACCCACTGATGGGTTTTTGATGGGAAAAGGAGAAAATGTTTTTTAGGACAAAATTAAAGGACTAATTTTAAACTTAAAACATTCCATTTTTGTAATTTGTTTTACATTGTTTTAAGTACAGTAAGCACAACTGTAATCTAGTTTGAGAAACTGGTGCTTTCTTTTAGTTCATTTGTATTTCCCTGTTATTGTAAAAGACTGTTTATTAATTCTGTTTACAGTTTGTTGCAACAGCCATTTTTGGAAGAGAGCTTCAGCGTAAAGCCATTTGTAAAGGCTTTGCCATATTCATTTTAATATGTGCCTGTTGCTGTTAACTTTTAATTAATAAAACAAAATCTTTTCTCATTATGCTCTTGTACATTTAAGTTATGACTGAGTCCAGCGTTGTGGAAAGGTAGCTAAGGTTGCAGTCAGCTTCCACTGTAAAACTAAGCCAACTTTTGGATTTGAAAATACTAGTCCTCGTATGCCAAAATTTATTGCCTCTTGGAGCTTGGCCTTTTACTGTTTGAAAAGCAAATCCCGACTTACCCAATTGTTTCCCTTCTAAAACTGTTTATTATTCTTTCATGTTCCCTGAAGTAGTATCATTAATCTCAAAGTGGCCATGTTTAAGGAAATAAATTTCTAATGAAACCATTCTTTTGAGCCTGTGTGAACTTCCTTCCTTTACTGTCAGTGCAAGTTCTTGCTGTTGTCTGACTCCAACAKAAATGGGACAATGAGCTTTGGTTGCAACTTGCAGGAACAGAAGAGCCTTTTTTAACAGGTTGCCTTGAAAAGGGTGTTTAAAGCTGGGAGAACACAGGTAACAACTGTGTGTAACTTACTACAGCAAAACTACAGAGAAATATTTAACTGGCTTAAATGTGGAAAAGTACTGATTCCTCTTGGACCTTTTTGAATGAAACATGCCAAGCCTGCAGCTATTTTCAAAACAACCACTAAAATCAGTATCTGATTATGCTTTCTGTGACCCATTTGTAAAAATGAACCTTAAGTGCATCAACTGCATTTTAAGTTTTGGTACTTGTTCCAGGCATATTTTAATATGTACTTTTAATGAAAATTAAGATAAATGATTTTACAAATACGTATATAGTATTTCAACACAGTATTTATAAAGAGCCTATGATTTTTAACAAACATTATGCAAACTTGCTGTCCTCTGCTCTGACAGAGCTTGTCAAAGTATAAAACGTGAGTAGTTTCATTCTAAGCCTTTTGTTCTTCCTGGAAAGGGGCCTCTRTTTCCTACCATACTGGATTTAGAAAGACTGGTTCTAATCCCACCTCTTCATGTACATGGAAGCGTCTGTCATTGGACTGAATTAAAGAAGAAAAAATAATGCCTCTTCTTGACCATGCTGTCTCRAAGTGCCTTCCACAAATCTATACCCAAATTCAGCATTCCTGCAGCTKAAGCATTTCATGTGAGAGCCAAGAGTCCAGGCATGGGACCTACAGCACCAGGGCCAGGAACAGCCCATGGAGCCCAGAAACATGCTGGAGAATGGGGCCAGCCCCCCCAACTGTTCCAATTCACAGATTTGTTCCCAGCACTGTTCTGCCCCACAGATACAAACAGGCCTCAGGGCATGTCTAAGGACTCTGCTGAGCCTCTGAGGGTACCTTTAGTTTGAGCACTTGAGGTGTTTTTCCATGGGCAGTGGCATTGTGTGTAATCTCAACTGAAAAGATAAAAATTAAGGTACAGTAGAAGTTATTTGATGGCAACTTTGTGATTTTATTTTCTTGCACAGACGACATTTCTTTTGCAGTAATTTTACATCTTTGCTTACCCCATTTCTGGTGCTGGATACCCCAGTTCAGACAGGTGCTGTCTGGTGTAGGCATTTTTTCCTACTTTAGCCTGGTTTAACAGGTCAAGTGATATCCTGAATTTTTCAAATAAATTATTTACTTGGACTGCCAGAAAAACTGAGTACATCAGGGGATGGAGAGGATGTTGAATAAGTATCTTCCTGCTATCTTTGTGGTGAGGCATAAACTTCTCACTGGTTCCTGAGAACTGGTTGGTTTGTTTGTTGAACCAGGATGCAACTGAATTAACAGTGTGGGGCTGTTCTAGAACCAACCCTGCTGTTATTCCTGCTGCACAGCAAGGTGTGCAAACCAGCCCTGGAGGACATGCAAGGAGGTTCAGTCACTAGGTTGTTGATTCACAGTCCCTGTAACAGAATGTAAACTCACTATATTGTGGCTGCTATCATTGGTAGAGTACCACAAATCAAATATGCCATGTTTATTTTATCTGCTTTAATTTTATATAGTGGCAATAGAGCATAAAATACAAAACTTAAAACCAAAATTCATTTTCACAAAGGTGTTTTAAAGGCACTTAAAAGAACTCAAGGACTGAATGACCTAGAAGTAGGACTGATGGCCACACTCTTTGGAAGGAAGTTACACTGTGTATGTGTTAATACCATTTCAAATTCCACACCAGAAAACAAAGCTCCTCCATGTACAATCTACATTCCAGTTATAAGCAGCAAAGCTTCTCAATCTTCAGTAATCTGAAATAATGTCAGAACCATTCAGTTGTCTTTATTAAAAAAGTGTTGCTTTTGTTTTTTCGTAGAAAACAGAAGCTCCCAGAGGCAGTTGTACTTGTCCCAGTAGCCAGGATCAGCTTAGAGCATCAAAAATACCCTGGCTGAGCTTTTTCAATGCTCATCCATGGTGAGAGCAAACCCTGGCTTTGTTTCAGTGTGCAGCTAAACTGCACTCTTGGTTCCTGAACAGCTTTTTTCAGCCTGACTTTTACTTCTGGCTTGAACCTTTCTACACCTGTGGCTGGAGACAGCTCTGGTGATGGGTCTGGCAGGAAACAGCTGCTGCATGAAGGCCCCAGGAGGGCTTCMCCTGAAAAATGGATTGTGGGCAACAGCTTATCCCCTCTCTTCCCTGCAAACTGGGGCCACAAGGGCTTGTGCAAGCCCCATCTGCCAGAAACATACCCAGGGAGCAAAGACAGCTGGGGACAAGGTGTCCACGAGCATCTCTTAGAGCAGCAGAGAGGAGTTGCTTTTGGCAACTTGCACCCCACAGTACTTTGTACCTTTGTTTTTTTACCTACACTGCTTTATGCTAATTAACACATACTCTTTATTATTTTACTCTGTTGCTATCTATTATTTCAAATTCCCTCAACTGCCTATTCACAGAGGCTCCCAGAGCATGATTTTTCTCTTTATAATGGCCACAGGATGATGCAAGCAGGTTTTAGTCTCTTACCCTTGCAAGYTCAGGTGAAACAAACAAAAAACCTTGCAAATAATGTGCTACTATGTAAAATGTAGCTGACCTCTGCAGCAGGTTCAAGTTTTCACTTGTTTAAAGAAGAAGYAGAGTGCCTCCAGGTTTTCTTTGGGCTAAAAATTTGCTACAGTTAAGTTTAAAAAAAAGGCTTCACCATGAAAATTTCAAATTACACATTGTAGTGCAAATTATAGGTAGAGCTCACATAAAACTGGTATTAAGTTAAGGATGTATCACCATCATTAATAACATATACATAAATTTTTAAGGTGGTCAGTTATGCACAAAGAATGTTGTATATATAACTTAGTGTTAATAAACTAAACCCATCGCATAAATCTTGAGTGGAAAACCAGGCTTGAATATKAAATTAATACCTGAGTATAATGGTCCAATTTACTCCCCCTGATAAATCACATACATACAAACATGTTTAATGTCTCATTTCTGTATTTCACGTTGGGTCTTCCTGTGCTTTAAGAAAGAGACCTCTCAGTACTAGTGCTATTTGCAACATAAAGTAGTTCACACCAAGCCGTTTAACAGTCTTTTGCATAATAATCTGGACACTAAGATTTTTCAATTAAGGTCTTCATTTTTCCTGTAGACTTCAGCATGTGTGGTCCAAACTGGAAAGAAAACCAGAAACATGTTCAGATTGCTTTCAACAGAACCCTTCTTGAACTACTGCCTATCCAAGTAGTAAAAGCAGAACTAGGGCAGAGATAATTTCCTTTATGACCCTGCTTCTCTGCATGTGGATTTCACAAGATAAACTGGTGTCAGCAACAGCTGAAATCGCTCAGAGGAGGGAGCTAGCACCCTGCTGGAGCAGGACTGAGACAGTTCACCATAGTAAAATAAGGAGATGGATGCAGTTATCTTTACATGCTGACAACCAACTGCTCCAGCAGCAGTTCAACAGWACTTCTGTTCTTACTGTACTCTGCTTTTCTATGCAAGTCCTTTTCAAAACTGCCATACAAAGATACCATAACAAAGTTAGATACTGTTAAGTAACTGATRGACAAGTTTTATTTTTATTAGCTCATTATGGATCAATGTTCTACAATTTTACAAAAAAMCTTGAATTTTTTTAGCTCTTGAGGACTTGATGATCCTTAACCTCAAAATGTGGACTGTAAATTTCAAAACTGGAAAGTCATGAAATAATTCTGTGTGAATAAAACATTGCCAACTCATGTTGTTTTCCTTATTGCACCAGAGATGCTGAGGAAATGTGATTAATTCTTGGGAAACATCTAGCCTTTTTGCTGAGAAAAACAGCCTGAATATTACAKAAATATACCATTAGAGGCCAAAATTAGCTAAAGTACTCGACAGTCCCGAGATTTGTGGCTTGTGAATGTTATGTGTCTTAAATCCTAATTCACAGTGTAGCCAGCTTTTGGAGTTTTATGTGTATTTTTTCAATTGAATAAACAAAAAAAAAAACAAAAAAACCCTCTTTAATCTTCGTCTCTGGTTCCATAGCACAAGGCTTCAAGGATTACTTACAAACAAAACTGATCTATACCAGGCTGATTTCTAAGTAAGTGTACATTGCTAGAGACTTGTATTTTGAATATTCACTGCTTAAAAACGAATTTCAAATCAATCTGAAATTAACTAGAAGCCATTAATAACTTGTCCCATGATGTGGCCTTTAAATATAATTTCATTTTATGTTCTTATGCTRTAAAGAAACTGCTTTTATATACTCAGCATTTTCAGTTAGTAGAAGAAATTCCCTATACCAAGAACCAAGATCCAGCAAGCATTCTGAACAACTTGCTTTCCGAACTCCTAGGAATGTCAGGTATGTTTCARGATCTTGCTTCAAAGTTTCACCTGYACCATCTGAATGGTTAAGGTTGGTAGTAACAGGCAAAYTCAGTTCAGACTGGACTTGATGTGAGCCCTTTGCAATGGTGTTTTCTGCATATCAGATACTTGTGGCAACAGAAAACATTTTTGTCTTAAAAAAATAAACARAACTGTAACAGGACTTTTTAAACCTATGGTTAAGGCAGTACACAATCCTAAAACTTGACACTAAAAACTTATGATTGCCAAAAGTCCTGGCATATCAGCAGTACTACACTGGTTTTTGTGGATAGGGATGCTAACTTGTAAGTGTTTACATATATTGGCAGAAAGACATACGTTGGTTTGCACAACTATAATTTAGGCCAAAGTTGTGTTCAGAATCACAACACTCACCAGCACTATATCAGTCTGTGTCTTTGTTTCGGTCTTTGGAATCACTTTTTCTGTTTCACCTTGGCTATCACTGCGGTATCGGTAAGCAAATTTCCTTTTGAGAGCTTCTGCTATTAATGTTGCAGGATCTGCAGGGTCGCACACTTTAGATTTTGTACCTTCTGAGGATCTAGAAAAGAAAATGGCATCAGCATCTGTCTCACCCGAAAAGTTTCAAGTCATAAAAACAAATCATTAATGCCAATCTTGGTGCATTGATATTTATATTTATCACCTTTTCACTGCRCGTAGTTTCACGTTGTTCATGTCTTTGAGGATTTCTAGCATGTTTGGTACTTCAGGCTTCTTTGGCCCGTTTTCTGCCACATTYTGGCCAGCGTTCATTTTTTTGTTTTTCCTCTCTTTGATGAGATCAATTGCAGACTTACTCTGCTGCAGACCCAAGGGAGGGGGTGGTGGCGGAGGAGGAGGTGGTGGTGGCGGAGGTGGAACAGGGACAGCAGCTGAAGCAACTGGACTTGACCCAACTACAAATGAAACATGAATTACATGTCAGTTTGTCTGCAACTCYCCTTCACATGTCACAAATGCTCAGGTAACAAAATCACTGTAGAAACTTCAATTGCCTCTCCTCTGCCATCTTCAAATTGCCACATAACTTCTTTATTCCTAAACCACCTAAKCAGACTCAGCTAAAAAGCCACATAAAAACCCTTCTTGAAGAATGAGAAGTGTCCTTTGAAATTTCAGGTCCAATTCTAGGTGTATTCGTGTCTATTGCAATGGGATGGCMGCCACAACATCTTTTAGTTATGTTCTGCCCCTAATGTTACCCGTATTTCTCTTTCTTCTCAGAAGTAGGTATGGAGCTGGAAGTCACCATCTGCCACAGGAGCATTGTTTCTTCCTACTTAYCATCACAAATAAGGAATTACCATAAAAGATTTTAAAATTTAAATTTCAGAGTTTAAACAGTGCTTAAACTGAAGTTTATTCCAGCTGTCTGAGGCTGAGGATTTTTAGGTCAGCTACTCATCTGTCTGAATATAGAGAATCACACAACAATCTTGATTTCAAGTTCCATGTATGCTTTAGGTAAAAATTGGTGTTATAAATATAACAGCAGTAATACCCTGACAAATAAAGAAGAAACCTCTTCTCAATTGCACCTTAAAAAAAAAGAAAAGAAAAATCAAACCAGTTTTGAGGCTTGGAGTATAAAGTGTGTAAAGGTATTTATAAATAATATGAAGGAGTCTCCTCCGTGTACCTGTAGGAAAATACACAGCGTTAATATCACGTTCTACCAGAAGAGGGAGGTAAAGATGACAAAATAAAAAATTTACTTTCCCTAAAGAACAGAGGAAAAAATTAAAGTAAGTTGGTAGTTATTTCACATGCCCCCACTCCCCTATAACTCAAATTCAAGAGTGAAACAAGGTGATCCCAAAAACTATTACATAGTTTTGAATATAAGCAGTTCAGGAAAAATAAAGTAACTGCTACTGGTTAACAGCTAAACGAGCATCTGAAAAATGAGAATATGATTTCATACACAAACATAGGCAAAGCTGTACTTGTTAAGTGACCTCAGGAAAGAGTGACAACTGAATGCCTGTCATCTGTAGTCAACAAGGGACATCTCCTGCTAATCTTTGAAGACTTAAAACTGAAAGGAGTCAGAGGTGAGGGAAAGAGAAAGAAATTCAGGAAGAGTTACTCTGTTTACTACCAGAAACAGTGCACCATTTTTGGTTCCATATGGACAATGTGTCTAGTCCCAGAGATGATTGCAGTAAACAATTAATTGCCTTTTCTGTTRCTTGAGATGTATATTACATATTCCAAAAGCATAATTAGCATCTTGTATGAATACTTAATGATATCAGAGAGCCTATTTCCTTACTGAATCGAAAGACTTCAGTGTTAGTAATTAAGTTACATTCTTTAATTTGGTTTAAGCCATCATGTTTATCATGAGCTTTGCTCTGAAAGCTGTTTAATACTTCTTTACTCATTCACAGATTCAGAACTCTGGCAGATTTACAGACAAACATGAAGGCTTTAGGAATACTWAAAAATACAGAAAATCTGGCAAGTCACTTGTCTTCAAGACCTATACTGTACCCCTTGGTTAGTGTGCCAAACTAACCAAAACAATATGGAGAAGGGCTTGGTGTTGCAGTAGCTCACAAAAAAGAATTAGCACAGTATTCATTATAAAAGGGACACATTCATTAACTAATTTTTGCTGAGAATGCACCAAATTTACTACCTGTTGTCAAGTTCTGCTGTTCTTGCAAGGTTACAATTTTGGCTATTTGTGCTCTTAAAGTGGCCAGTTCATTTTCTAGAGCACTGATCTTCTGCAGTGCTTCTTCATTTGCCATCACTGCGCTCCTGGGCACTGGTCCCTCTTCTGACAGGCTTTGCAAGGACATCTCTCTGTGTGGCGACTTCCTGGSATCATGTGGTTCACCTGAAAGAGGCTGGGTTGCTCTTGAACAAACTTCTGACCTGTAACAAAAAAATCACAACATATTTTCAAGGCTTTGAAATAGATAAAAACTAAAGCAACATTAYCTACATTACCTAACCAGGGATACAAGTGGAAGACCTAACTTCAAACAGATCAGTTCCATCAAGACCTTAAATAGCTCGAAGTAAATAAGAACTTCACAYCCTTTCTGTTTGCATCATGAGCTGTTTTGTCTCTTCCCCCAGACAGCGTTTTGTAGAATCCTTGATTTCAGAAGAAAAAAAGGAACACATTCCCCCTTATACCAAACTATTTCTCTGCCTCAAACCTATTGCATATTTTATTTGAATTAAAATCTGTCTTCCCTTAAATGTTACCGTTTTTCCCCTATGGACTGCAACTAGCCATTTGCACTTGATTCCTTTGAAGAAGGAAGAGTTTCTTAGTTCCACAAGATTTTTTTTGGTACTTTTTGGACTCTGAATGCACAATCCCCAATTTTAGCAGCATTGGGAAATATGGAGTACATGAAAAAGCTTAGGAATGCACAGACTGCTGTAAGTAAATGCAAAAAGGTCTTATATTTAGTTTTCTAAACAATAATTAGAACCATAAAGAAGAAAACTTCATACAGATTTAAAGAGACCATGAGCATCCCTCCACTTCTCACAAAAAAATGTAACTCTGTTGCCTTCCCTTAACACCAGTCAAAACTCAAATCATGTTAAACATTGAGGCATCACTAAGCATCTACTCAAACAAGTCAGACAAACACTTACAAAGACACCAGCATTTAAAAACCATTTATCCCAAATAGCTGAGCAACCTGACTGAATTAAAGATGTCCCTGCTCATTGCAGGGGGCTTTTAAAGGGCCCTTTCAATGCAACTATTCTATGATTCTGTAAGCAGAATTGATAAAGACTGATGACAATTATCATRAACATTAAAATGCAAAATATGACTCATACTTAACTCCTGAATCCTCCTTAACATCAATCCCCAAACTTGTCGGGCATGCCAGTATTCCAGTGTTTATTTAAACACAAGAGTGAGAATAGGGGCTGGTAAAGGGACKTTTTGTAATGGGTAGAATGGCCCCAGACACAGCCCAAGTGTCCCCTCACTCTGGATGCATGGATTAAGCTACTATGGGTGCTCATCATATTAGATCTGCAATCATGCTAGATCTAAAGCAAGAGCCAAGATCTAAGGCTAAMATGAGCCCTGTGCTCTGACCACCTCAAACCAGGATCAGATACACAGTCTTCTATAACACTGAMAAAAATCATCAGCACAACATGCAGAAATTTGATCAAGGAGAATTGAATATTACCAAGGATGATAAAATTTAGGTGTCGTTAACTGGACAGGAACAGAGAGCAACTAAAGCTGAGAACAGGATACCTCCTACAGCAGCCACCTCCCTGCTCTCCCTAARTAAGGTGGAAGGTGCCAGTGGTCCCTTCACTCCTTAAAACCTGCCCTCTAGAAACTCTTTAAAGGAGCAGAATAGTGAAATAACAAAGGGTATTTTCTGCTCAGAGCAGGAACAGTGTTTTAAGGAGACATCTTGACTGGAATCTATCACTGTGGAAAAATATGCCTGAGTTGTCACAACTGCTCTGACTAGGGGTAGAGGAAAAATGATTTGTCATTTAGTTGCTTCCTCTATAAAACTATTCACAGAAAAAAACGTATCTGCAAGATTGTTTACTGAATTATACCGTGAATAAATATTTAACAGTAACACCTATGTGATCYTGTCGAAACAGAGAATTTCAAATGCCTGGAAAACACCTAATGCATACCAGCTCCACTACTAATAYTGTGCACAGACGTAATAAACAGTGCACACTGAAATACTCATATTTGCTAAGTAATTTGCTTACCGTGCTMCATCATAAGCTGTTTGCCTTAAGGTCACTATGTATCTGCAGGATTATTTTAGTCCCATCCCACATCCATCTGTCCTCGCTCCCCCTTCCCATGCAGACGTTTCAGCAAATATACAGTCCTGCATCTTTTGTAATAGGCTCTTTGAAGCACCAAAGAGCCATTCTCCCTGTTGTCTCCATTAGACATAATAGCTTTACAGTTCAATCCTTAAATGAAATGTTTCTGTGCAAACAAAAGTRGTATTGGACAGTTAATTTCCTTTGTATCAAATAGATTTCAGGCATAGTRTTTCTCAAAYAAGTGYTGATTTCYRTGACTCCCCTCTGAGTTTGTGAAATTAATGTGGCGGTGCCAGAGTGTAATGCAAAGCTTCACTGTAGCAAGTCATGTTGGAGGGCATCTAGGTCATTACTRACCTATTCTATGCTTTCAAATTAAGAACAGTATCCTCCYGTAATCTCTGAAGCCAACAATMTGAAAGATTGCTCTTCTCTTAAAGATTAGTTTGTTCAGAAGATAAACCTTTGTACTACAGAACTGTACTTTTGCTTCTGGATAGTCTGARAAGCAATCTGAGTATGACAGAACAGAGAACTTCATCTCTTCAGCCAACCTGTTTCATACAGTGACAGTGCTGTCACTTGCTGGAACCCTTGGTCCAACACAACATCCCATCATTCTGGACACAGGTGCTTACATGCTTCCCTGCCAGTTTTTGTTATGAAGATTAAACACAAACCACAATTTTTTAATTGTACTTAYCAGACTGCAGAGCCTTAACCAGAAAGGTGAAAAACAACGTGCCAATTACTGGATTGCCAGAATGACAATTGCTGCTAATGAGGAAGCTGTACAGTTCCCTGCCCCATGGTAATGACAATCTCACGAGAACTGGAGAATCACTGTTAGCCACTGTGCCACAGCACAGCACACATTGTCATTACATAAAGCTATTGTGTGCAGTTCTTTGCAATACACAAATAAATAAAATCCAGAATCTTTCTTGTATACAGCCAATCTTCTGTATGTTTTCAAACCAGTCTTGCTTTCACAATCCTCCTATTAGTCTAATCTCTACCATTTCTTTTCCAGACCCTACCTCTGTCTCTTCTCCCTTCTTCCAGCATTCAAGTGTTCTCTGTTAATTGTAAGGCACAGTAGATTCTCACTGGAGATAAGTGTGGTTATCAGTGGGAAGTTCAGAGAGAAGATTTCAGAAACATACCTGAGCCTTGTAGAGACTTCACCTTCTTCTTTAGCAATCCATCCCACATCTGCAAAGGAGGCCACTGCCTCTGCTTTAAGTTGAGTAGGACTATTTCCTTCCGTGACATGAGAAATAAGCTAAATTTTAAAGACAAGATTGAAGATTTTAGAGTCAATATTCCCAGTCCAAATCACATTTATGTTGCCCAATACTTCTACCAAAGCTACATGTGCTATTAACACATACATGCAAAAAACACATCTGTAGACTTGAAACATTTATTTCTGTTCTGTGCTCTGTCCAGAACCATTTCACTGATTTCAAACTATTCAATCCATTCTGCTGAACACTTTGCAGAAGTTCATGGCTCACTACGTGCGCTATCACATGATGCTAATGAGCTCTAAAAAGCCAATGCAAATTGTTACCTTAAAGACAAACATCAACATTCTTACAGTTTGCTATACTAACTTAAATACTATGTTTTTAAATTACATTAATGGYCAGATATGAAGGCTGCCAGAACTTCTCAAGTCTTTTGCTCTGTTTAAGATTATTTTTAAAGTGAAATTCTGCCAAAGTTTCCTTTTCCCTGCAACTTCCCAAATTTCTGTACAAGAAGTACATTGCACAGGGGGAAAAGAAAAGCAAACAAGCAAAGCAGCCCCAAAACCAAGCAAAAAGACAATTCTACCAACTCAGTAATCTTTGAGTGAGAGGTAGGATGTAATCATARCATTACACCCTATCTGCTAACAATCTTATTTACAACATGCCAAACAAATGGACCATTTTCCATCATGGTTCTGGCCATTAGCTTTACAGGTGTTCGAAACCAAAGGTGAGCAAAGAGGCTCCAGAGACTGGGACCTTTCTTTGATTTCCAGTTGTGACCAGAATGGTGATTTGAAATATTGTTTGGACTATCAATACTTGTTCCATGGTCACAACTCAACAAAAGGGTTTCAAACCTATTTTGAAATACTGGCTGCTTCCCCAGGTCAGATGGGGGCATGTGTTCAGTCACTGGACTCCTGAGCAGCCTGGGCTCAGTATCTCAGCAGATAAAAGCTACTAAAACAACTTACAGTAATCTGATCTGCTCAGTCTTTCACCTTGAGTTACATATATCCAAAGCAACTTGCCCCCTCTTTTGCTTGTATTCCACAGAATCACAGAACCGTTAAGGTYGGAAAAGCCCTCCAAGATCAYCRAGTCCAGCTGTTAACCTGACACTWCAAACAAATCCACAGCYAAATCTGCACRAGTTTTTGCAGCTGTTTAAGTGCTGCCTGTGGTCAGCAGTGGCAGAGAAGCTGGGAATACTGATAAAGATGGTGGCAGTAGGTGCCAGTCTGTGAGGACAGCCTGCATCCACCCCATTAGCACTTAGGTCAGTTTTCAAGGCAATCCCAGTCTGGAAGAGCAAACTACTATGAAATGTTAGCATTRATCTGAATTTGTTGCAGATCTAGCACAGTAGGACTGTAGTCTGGATGAGGTGAAACCATTTCAGAAGAACATCCACACATTTTACTTGTAGCCTCTGATACACAAGTCTCAGGAATTGAGAAGTTGTGGGTTTGGGGCTTTTTTTTTCCCCAGGAGCTGTTGCAAACAGCCTTAGAAATTGAGATTAGTTGTCTTCACCTCACACTGTCACAACTTGTATGAGAGTCTTTATCACAGCTCCCAGGAGTGTGTATTGGCACCACCAGATCATTTGGAAACAACAGGGTTTTTTCCAGGTAGCATCAGCACAGATGGTAATATGTTTATCACATTAACAGTTGTGCCTAATGCCATTACAGTCCGCCTCTCTTTAAAGCAGTCTAGAGAATACTGTATTGCATGTTAGGACTTTTGCTGTTTGAGGTTTCCTTGGCATTTTTCTTTTTAAAAATGAACATAAATTGTCAGGACCACAGCGTTCATACTAATGTTACTGACAATTAAAACAATCCGTAATACATTAGSCACTTCTTGCAGATAATACATATTTTCCTGGCAATAATATTACCATTAAAAGACTGAGACCACTTTTAAATAAAGGCACTACACATAATTGAATCAAAAATAATTTTCTAAATCAACAGTAAGGAATRTATTTACCACTGCCAGGATTCCTGCATCATGAGATAAATAAGCCTTCTGTTATATTGTCATACAAGTTTCTTCTTACTTTCTTTATTCATATTTATATATAAACAGAATCTGCTTGTTACCCCATATACAGATGTTTCTTTTCTTTATCCCTAAAAACAACAAAGCCTTCACAGTAGTGGAATTTGAATTTCAAATTAATGCAAGACTTTTACTTTCATTTAAAGGTGAAAAGCCAACACCCATYTCTTAAAACCTTCCCCTGCTTGTAAGCACCACTGTGACTACCATATTCCTCCAGTCAATCCCAGCTGAAGAAAACCTGAACTGCTCTGCCAGCACCTAAAATGGAGAAYGAAGTGCTGAAAACAGCAGCCCAGTTCTACTGGATGGCTGGAATTGAACAAATCAGTGCTATAGCCTGATTTTCTTTCTCTGGAAACTACGCAGTTGCCCCACTTCTTCCTTCACAGGCTGTTTGCCAACCTTAGTGCACACGTRTGCTGCACACATGGACACACACCTGTGGGCTGCAGGCCCATCATGGATTTCTGAAGATTACACACACTCTACTGTTTTGGCCCTTCGAGTTGGACGGGACACAAAAGCAATCACCAGCCTTGCCAGTGTTTCCGCCCGGTTTCGAACCGGGGACCTTTCGCGTGTTAGGCGAATGTGATAACCACTACACTACGGAAACGCTGCTTGGCAGCAAGGCAGGGCAGGTTCCCTGCTCTTTTGTTTGCTTCAGAAAGTGAAAACTGGAACAGATATTTTTATACACTTGAGGACAGAATAAAAACCTCATGTTTCAACTTCACAATACAGTTATGTATTAAATAATTGGAAATACTTCCAGTAAGACAAACATGCTTTGATTTTTCAACTTAGCCCAGTAAATTCAGATGTTTGTTACATGCACACCAATTTATTAGGAGGTTTCTACTGAGTTATCAGATATCCATCAGACAGACAGGAGAAGGACTAAAACACAGGTGCTGTAGCTGAAGGATACTATTTTGAGAGACACTACTGCAGGTTTGGTTGAATCTACCTAGGCTATATTGGTATGTTTAATTTTATTTGCTCCTCAAGACTACAAACAAATCTTARAAATATGACATGCAAAAAATCTATATGAACTTTTTTCATGCCATATAGAGTACATAGGGTACATAAGTTTTGCCACCTCTTACTGAGTATGTAAGCAGCATTTTAACATTTAGCAGTCAATTTAAATGTCGACTATGGCAAGATCCACAGAGATAGATGCAACAGTCAGKAGGCCTCAAACATCAAGATGTTAGGCTACTATTCTTTTTTTTAAAGACTAGCTGAACAAAAGCATGCTAGAAAATAAGTATSAACATTACAGAGATGTTCTTTCAATGTGTCTCATCCATTTATCATAAGGAAAATGAAGACCCATGGAAAGGCTGCTGCTCTAGGGTTAGAAATACTGATTACATACGTGCACCCTCATATGATGCAAGTAAGATTTGATCTGCTTTTTTAAATAAAGWGACTTACAGCAAAGTTCAGTTCATGGTCCTTTCATAATAGAGCTAAAGCTGGCAAGAAAGAAAGAGGAAGAGACAGCTATAGGAAAGTGTCAGTTGCAACAGTACRAGAACGATCGAGATGAGTACTGAATCTTAATGCTGAGATAAAGACACAAAAGACATGTTAGCATCACACTTAGCATGTTCAGCARTTTATASATTAAAATAGTTCAGAGTCTGCACAAACCATATAAATTTTAATTGTTTCAAGGCTAAAATTTTGAAATTCTTACTTCTAATTAAATTAACTCTCATAACTGTGCCTCTATTTTTAGGTTCCTTTCCTTTCATCTAATAGAAGGTGAATAGGTTTATACCTAGTGTACACACAAAGCTGACTGAATATCTCTTCAAGAGAAATAAAAGGYAAATATTATGTTAACAGAATTCAGACCAAAACATATTTATGTATTTATTTATTTATTTGCTTAAACATAAAAAATAATCAGGAACAGATTCCCCAGGTACATCTTACAGGTCCTTGGAAGAACATAAACCAGAAATGTCTTCTTTTATGTACCATATTAACAGAAGTCAGTATTTGGCTAACTATCTGCAAATGAGCATCACCTTTCCCTGTATGGCCGTTAGAGCACAGAAAATCAGATACATTATAAGAGGACTTCACAGCCTTTCAAATCTGAAGCACAGGGARCCTTACTGCTGGCAGAACAACTAATAATTATATTTTGAAAAGTTTAAATCCAGCATGCCATTTGTTGTCCTCACCTGCACAAAACCCCACCTCCCTTTATTTTTTAATTTCAGCAAGCCACTAGAAATGGGAGATGGCTGCTTCCCGGGTTTTTCAAAGTAATTTTTTAAGAGAGGCAAAATGTTAGCATGGCTTTTACTATCACACCAACAAGGCTTCTATGGTCATCTGAACTATCTGGTTTTGCTACTGTATTTTCAAGTCTAAATATTGTTCATACATTTCATTTAGGATAAAGAAATTAATTTAAACATTAAAAAAATCAGTCGTGGAAATTACGTTATCTTAGCTGATTCCCTCCATTCATCTTTACACTCCCCACCCTTGCTCAGCCCACGAAACATTYCTCTCTCAGCTTGAACTTCAAACACGAAATTTCTCCAATTCTATACCCACCCCCTACCCCTAACACCAGAGTTGAAAAGATTATGTGTAACAGCTTCCACTTTCCCATCTGCTCCTGAAAGATTCTTTATAGAAAGCCTGGGTTTTCTCTWCTTTAAACTTTTACACTTGCTCTTTACCCACTCTTTTCACCTATACAGTGCTAACCTCGTATTTTAAACAAAAGCAAACAGGATACTCATGTTACCTTGTTACTCATTTTTAAATTTCTGACAAAGCTGTTTATTTTCCCAAGTATTTTTAACACTGTTCATCTTTACATACCTCTTAAGCCTAGCTTACAAGTACTGTTTATAGAAGTAAGTTACAATCATTTTTCTTTTATGAATATATATTTTTTCAATTTCCCTGTTTGGAAATAATCTGAACTGGAAGCAGAAAGAACTTAAGTAGGCTRATTCTCCTATGTCCAGTTTACCTTATTCTGCTTTTACAAACCTTCTAGAYATGAGCAAATCCTTTATCAGTACAGTGAAACATCTATTCTGTTGAGAACACCTACCTGAAAGTGAACTCTTGGACACTGTATAAGAGACAGGTTACTCCCAATTTTTCTTACGATACTTCGAGATGAACCATAAGGCTTGCCTGACCAAAGCATCTGGATGGGAAGAATAAAGAAGCCAGCAGTTAGGAAGTTGATTTTTGCTTCATATTTCCATACTATGCTTGTGCTAAAGGTATTTAGTCATTCCTTTCATGCTAGAGTAKAATATAATGTTATACACTGAATTCTGTCTCAGTGAGCTCCTTACATTCTCTGCCCAAACTGGCACAAATATATTATACATCATTATTACTACGTAGATATGGCTGCTTCAGGTCAAGACAGCCTTTGCAATACATGCAAATTCAAAGCAATAAATCGGGTAATGCAGGAGAATTCAACAGCTGAAAGTATCTTAAAAAACACAATATTCCAATTTTCAAGACAATAAAGAACTTACATTCAGTCACACACCTCACTWTACAGGGTTTCAAGAAAAGCCACTCAATCATTACAAATCCAAAACATTACGTAATTTTTAATTTCTCAAATATTTTTCTTTTTTAATTAAGAGCTCTTCTAAAACAGGAATACTGCCGACCATTCTTAATGAAAATAAGTATCAGCTACAATAAACCTGGAAGTGTAATTACAAAATTAAAGAGCAAAGGAAATAAAAAGGAAAAAAAGAAATGAAATATTGTAAGAAAGAAACTTTATCCCCTGCCCCAAAAAAATAGATTCACATGGCGAAAACTGCCCCTAGAAGGTCAACACACCTGGCTTCATTAGAACTGTTTCTATGGCAATTTAGATTTCCTCTGTTGTTTCAACTATGTTGTTTCAACTGGGATTAAATTAGCTTTTTTTGGTTGTATTTAATATTTACCATAGCTYTACAAAATCAAATAAAATGGAAGTTTAATCCTCGGAGAATACTACAAAATGAGCCAGRASAAAAGCAAAGGCTCCAAAGTAGGAAAGATTTCAGCACAGGGAAAGGCAACAATGCAAACACATAAAATAATAATGACAAGACTCTAAGGAAGGGTACATTATTAGTAAACAACTAGAACACTGTATGGTAATTTTAAAAACTTGGCCARTGTTTAATTATAGCTGTAAATATGRATTTACCAGCCAGACCTTAGYTTTTAAAGGACAGTMGCTTCAAGCAAACTTGACATCCTGTTAGAAGGTTGCCCAAYGAAGAAAACAGAAAAAATCCAGGCTATTGTGACAATATTGCCTGTATGATGACTGTAGAGGTGCTGTGGGAGTTTCATAACACACAGCCGAACATTTTGGTCTACTAAGCAAAGATCACTATTCTTAGATGTTGAAGGTTCTATTAAAAAGGAAAGTTTATGTYCCATGGTTTTAATCTCCAGATTATGTCACAAACTTCACACAAACATTTTGCGTAGGTCCAATTTCCATCCTTGCTTCCTCTGGCTTTACTGGAATGTAAAAATTTTGACTAAATACACAACATCCTCACATCAGAGCTGCAACTTTGACATTAATTCACTCAGATCTACCTTTTTTCCATTCCAGAAAAAAATACATTCTCTTGCTTAATACACTGCTAAGCGGAAGAGAAATTTTTCAATGCAGAGTAGTCTATTGATGCTGCATTTTGATTGCCTCAACAAAGACCTCATATTTGTGCCTATCACATTGTTTGTTTACATGTCTGAGCAAATGCAGGTCAATCAGCGGCCTTCAAGAAAAAGTCACTGACTAAACAGCACCACAGTAATAGAGTCTCATTATTCACAGCTGATTCTGATGTCTGAAGCAGAACTATTGGCAAGAGACTCAAAGTGATGTGGCATTGGAACAAACAATACCAGTCAAAGGAAGGCTTAATTATTTGCAGAAGTACTTCTACAAGAGCAAGAGAGTCTAGACTACATGCTCTATTACCAACGCAACTGCAATGCATTTTGAACAAGTGAACAAGCAGCAAAACTTGTTTACATACTGCTCAGACCACAGACAAGTTTTCAACTAACACCCAGATACTCAAAAATACTTGGTTTCCAAATGCCCTTGGGGCTTCTCAGCAACAGTGGCTTGGTGCAACAAAAGTCTAAGTGACTCAGTTTTGGTAATTGAAGATATGCCAGGACAATATCTTCAGAAAACTCCATGCAAACTGTGCCACAAGGGATGCAAGTAAAGTCAGTTCTYTACTCAGCTGAGCTGATGTCTCAACACTGCTCTAACCAAGTTCACACAACTTCTTGTTGACTTGAAGCACTGGCAGAGCAAGTCTGCAAAATGCTACTTAGTCACACACTCCTATTGCATCAGTGTTTTACTGTTGTCCAGAACAGCTGACATTTGGAAATGTAACTGCATTATCACAAGCTTGATACAAATAGAGAATGGGAGGGAACAGATTAAAAACTTGTTCCTCTCCCTATTTAGGCTGAAATGGCTGAATTAACACAGTGTGGTAATGCAATATATTCTTATACTTTGAATTTTCAAAGTTATGTGCAATCTCAGATCGAAGTTAAAATAAGATCTTAAAATACAGATGCTTGTTGTCAATTTTAATTTACAATCTGTAAGTATTTTGCTCCTCACAGAGTCCCAAGATTGACAAAAGCTTCTACCACAATACTACCGACTAAATACCATGTATAGCTGTTGAGGATTTTCCCATTATTAAAACATTAAAATATTTTAAAAAATTGCAGGGATTACTGCACTGAGGTCAACATTTGCACCCCAAATAGCTTCCTAAATGTCCCAGTAACAAAGCAGTTGATGTGTAGCAGCTCTCTGCCTCTCTCTGCTGAGCATTCAAAGAAAACTCTCTATATATTCTCCTCCAATATGCAGGCCTATTCTGTTTACCCAGTAAAGAACACAGCTGTATTGCTCTCAGGCACTGTAACACCCCCATAAGAGGTAACTAGGGCACAGAAGAGGTAAATATAAAACAGTTTTAATCATCTCAGTTTCATGGGGCTTTTTGTATCTACAAGGTAAGAACAAGAAATAAGATTATTTTTTTAATTACTGTTAAAAATAAGATGAAATTCTCCTTCAGCTTCAAAACACACACGGAAGCCCAGYATGAAAAGCAGTGTTTACAAAGTAAACAGTTTATTGGAACCACAAGGAACTGTGTAGTACTTTTAACACATTTATTACTCAATATTTCAGTGTCCAAGTCATAAACTCCATGCCTTTTCAGCAATGTAGAATCATCCCAGTATTGAGTATACTTCAAGTCTAAGCACTAACTAAAATAYGTGAAGTGCTCTCTATACTTTATTTTCTGAAAAGATAAAGAGATAAAGAGATAAAGGAAGTTTGAAACACTTACTGATTCCATGTTCAATCCAATTTGTTCAAAAGCCATCCTAATTAAACGCTTCAGCCAGCAGATCATCTGGACTGGAAAAGGCCTTTCTGAACTTGGATTTAAGCCTTCCAGACTTACAAGGCTGCCAAGGTTCCATAGTAGTTCTGAAATGAGACACGCAARAATTTTAGATGCATGTTGTGGAACATACACAGAAGTAAACTGCTACATTACAACTACAAACTGCTATAAGCATTCCTAAAAAAACAAGCTTTAGATACAATACATATTAGATGATACCACTTCTTGTACTGCAAAGCAAATGTGTTCAGAATACATCTACTTAATACAGGTAACAAAGACTTTTTAGAAATGTCATTCTWATAGAATCATAGAACAGTTTGAGTTGGAAGGGAGCCTAAAAATCATCCAGTTCCAACACCCCTGCCATGTGCAGGGATACGTTCCAGTAGAACAGGTTGCACAGTGCCCCATTCAGTCAGGCCATGAAAACTTCCAGGGATGGGGCATCTGCAATTTCTTTGGGCAACCTGTTTCAGTGCATCGGCACCCTCATGGCAGTACGTGTTTAATCCACACTTATCCTCTCCCAGTATAAAAGCCATTGCCCCTTGTCCTATCACTACATGCCATGTAAAAAGTCCATCTCCAGMTCTCTCATAGAYCCCTTTAGGGACTGGAAAGAAATCCAAGCGGTTGAAAAGTTAACAATTAAAAAAGTTGTGGAAATGACTGCTCTCTTGAGCTTGGACAGATGATGGCGTTCAACAACTCTAAGTGAGCATCAAGCCCTATRGAACGTCTGCAGATGGGGATTAGCACTAAGATTGAAGTGCCATACTCATATCTGAAACTCATTTCTATGCAGGAACAGACTGCAGAAAGCTGGTCACCTCTTTTGACTCACATTCTCTGACAGCTTTGTTGTTCCCTCCTTTTTTCTACAACTAAAGAGAGAAAGRAAACATGGAAAAATGACTAATGCGAAAAAAATTACAGGAAATACTATAGATGTGGGACCTGAAAATATTCAAGCAGTTTATAGACAGATTTCAAATTTTGTCTACTTATATACACTTCCATTCAATTAAATCAAGATGATTTCATTGCTCCTCTAGTGAAAATAGTGTAATTTTTTGTTAACTTGTGGTACATCAGTCATAACTTGGATGCTGCTGAGAAGTGTATGCCACCAAAACCAGGCAAGGAAGCCATAGGYTTAGGTTTATGTTTGTTTTGCCTACAAGGCTGGAAACAACACTCTGTTGAACCACCCTGAGCAACATATTTGTGGYATGAACAATAGTGTTGCAGAAGCCACTCTGTATACACACAGGATGACTAAAGCAATGTAGCTGCAAGGAAACAAGTACTTGGGAAGTTTGAAAGTCATGAGATGGAAAAGCTATGCTGTTTGGAATTGCTCACAAGCCSTACAGTTAAACCATCATTGTTTCCATAACGGATTTTTTTTAATGGTTTACAGTTCCTTAGTAATAACCTACTTCTTGTGGAAACTTGGCAGAAACAGGACAATTCTACAGTTAACTTTTTGAAGACAGGCTTAAAAAAATAGTTGATATTAGTTTCTCATCATCACAGGATTTTCTTTTGTTTGTGACTAGACTTGGAAGAAACTACTAACCTACACCATGAGATTAGAATGGAAACTGCAACTGTTATAAAAAAAAACAACAATAGGGAAAAATAATGGGCTAGCTATCAAACAGCCATGAATACAAGCTACAGGCATTCACGGTAAATGAGTAAGTCACTGACTTCTTTAGGGAAAGCTGGAGAAGTCTATTAGAAAAGCAGTACCATCTACGCAATCTATTGTTCCTTTTAGGCATCTGTTACTCTCCCCTTAMATCTCCTGTATGGATTGTATGGCTCTTTGATCTCATTGTATTGCTGTGTTTTTAAAACAGGAAGAACAAAAGTCTTYCTACATGCCCCACATTGGATTTGACATCATATCTGGCACTGTAGCCATGCAGTGACATAAAAAAAAAGAAGAATGCTGCTTTAAAAGGGGAATCCTGTTCCAAAGGTGTGATTACATTTGATAATACTCCACCTCATTCCAAAGTCCAGACTTGTTCAACATGCAGTGTGGAAATCAAAGGAAGAAACACGAAAGCTATATCAAGACAAATTCAAACAGAAGAAAAAAAAGGCAGAATATTGCTGAGCAACTGCAAAACCAGGGCTGGCTGAGAAAGGCAGGCGACAGGGCTAAAAATTATTATATCCTGATACACTGGTCTTTCAGACAAGTCATAAGAAGTCAGAATCATGTTTTCATTCAGGCAAAGAAGAAAATGCATGATTTTGTTACTGATCAACGGTGAGGCCCAAGTCTTTAAAAACAGAGGCAATTTGGACAGAAGTAAAAAGAGAGTGTTAGAACGCCTCCGAGGCAATCAGAGCAGGTTTAGAAAGTTTCCATGACTTTAGGAAACTTAAAGGCAAACAGGTAAAAGAACAACACAAAAACTGACAAGATAACCAATTAAAGGCACAAAACCAGATGTAGAAAAAAAAGTAGCCTAATACAAGGATGACAGAATAATTAAATATGAAGTAGTAAGCTAAAAAAGGCAAGGTACAAAATGGGTTCTATCTTATAGGCATATAAAAAGTCCTACATGTATTAGCAGTAAGAGACGAAAAGAGACAAAAGAGACAACCACAGCAACAAGAAAGGCAAGAAAGCAATGGGTGAAATGGATAATCAGTATGTATTGGGTGTTTTCACTTCATAATGACAGCTAAGACAGACAGGTGTTATAATGGATTACAGGCAATRCTAAAAACTTATAAGCACTCAGGACAACAGTATCTAGTGGATTGTACCTTGCAAAGTTCAGAAACTTGCCAAGGCAGTTTCTGAAATATTGGTGATTAATTTCAGAAACTTGCTCAAAGTGATTCAAAAGACCCAGGAATAAAAGGAGCATGATGACACAAAGCATTGGGAAGAGTCCAAAACACTTATCCTGCCCTAAAACATTAAGGTGACCCTTTATAATTGCAGGTTCCAAGACTTCGATGACTGAACACAAAAGAGCATTAATTCAACCAAAAAACTACTTCAGTAAAATGAATATTTATAGTTCACATTGTTTCCTCTGCAGCTTAAATACTTAAAAGTTCCTGACACTGGGATCAGGGACAACACCTTGCTCTCATCAATGACCTGTCCACTTTTGCAGAAGAAAGTGACTGAAATCAGTCTGTAACAGTGCAGAGTAGCACCCAGTTCCTGAATTAGTTTCCTTAGTTTATTCCTCATGTTTGAACAACCTCCAGCTAATCTGTCCTCTAAAGGGAAAATGCTTGTATCAGTTTGTTATTTTTAAATTACTATAATTTTTACACAATTATCCCAGGCAAACTTCATRCTTATTTCTTTCAGACTATGTTGCACTGTACCTTCTTCACAAAACTCAGCTATTGCACAACTGGTTTATATGCCAAGAACAGACAGGGTTCATTCCAAAAGAAACTATTGGACAGCAAGAATGAAAGCATTAGCAAATTCTTCTATCATGCTCTGTATACATGCCGATTTCAGAAGCAGGAATTGAATGTTTATTGCTTTCAATAAGCAGAATAATACCTCTTTTAAAAATATTGATTTTAGTGGTGTTTATCCTCTGTCTCTTTGGTGCTACCTACAGTAAAAATAGTTTAATTACCAAATAATTTCAAACAACTGAATTACTACAATAAGAACTACTACAATTACTCCTGGGTGACAGTAATACTGTTATTAAAAATAGTCTTTCTGCTCTGCCTCAGCAAAACTATTACRAGGATAAGTAGCAGTCATAGACAAGACACCAAGGTCCAAAGAGCAGTAACATAAAGAATTATATTTCACTGCATAAAGCATGAAGGGATTGGAATTTCAAAGGTTCATTTCAATGAAACCCAGAAATTAGCAATGCTGAAGAACTTTCTTACTGATATGGAAATATGGTGGAATTTCTTGGTTTAGAAATGAGGAAGTCTACATTGGGTAGCGTCCTTGAGCTCATTTGCCCCTACTTTTCCCAACACTTTTGCAGGCTTCATTCATTAATCCCATATCAAATATCACGTCTACAAAGCTGACAGATAAAACCACTTATAAACTACAAAAAGTTCATTAAATAAATATAAAGGCCCTGGAGTCTGTACACATAAGGCATAATATCCAGTAAATATGAACAGAAGCCCTTTGCCAGGCTTTCTAATGAGTCCTGCACACAAAAGATTAAAAGAAAGAGAAATCAGATGCAGCTGCTTTTAAATTTAAATTCTTCTGTGTGTATTTCCCAATGTTGTATTTATTTTATCTTGAAAGGGACCTCTGTACAAGTTCTTTCTCTTAAAAAGAAATATTATATTCGTATTTTTCTTACTGAAGGAGGTTTCTTTCACTTAAGACATAAAAGAGAATGACTTAATTGGATTGATGGAGCAGATTAGCCTTAACAAAGAATAAACAAAGGCATGAAATCTGAAAAACGGAAGGTGGAGCCTCTACATTGAAAAGGTATAGCATAAAGAAGTATAAAATTTTCAAAGAAGTATAGGTTCAAAAGGAATACCGACCACATTAAAAAAACAAATGCAAAAATACCAGGCTCCTCCTTATTTTAGCAAAGAACTAGGGCATGCCTATCTCCTCAGTCTCTTAGATTGACACATGACCCAAGTTCATCTAATAAAATTACATCCATAAGGAAACATTATTAAAAAAGTAAAAAAAATGAAGATAAAGCAAAAAAAAACCCCATTATCACAACAGCCAAATGGGCAGGAAAAATATTCTGATAAAGCACCAGACTGTCCCCAAATTGCCACAGATCGCTATATGTAAAGTAAGTATGCATTTGGCAGAGGTCCCATAGCCAGAAACAGAGGTCTGTTTTTTGGTGTCGAAGCTACAAATAATGAAGCATCCCGTACTTACAGAAACACTTGTCTGGAAAGATGCGAAGAGAGAGAGAGAAGTCAGTGAATACTATAGGCACAATGTAAGCTAGTAATGATGTGAATTGCAGGAACTGAAAATCATAAATACATGCAAAAGAAGTTGCTAAAGCTTGCTTGAAAATATAGCCCCATCATATTTACCTGAACGTGCAAAACCCTATTAATCAAATTTCACTCATGTTATCCTATCTTGCCAACTAAGGACAGAGAAAAAAAATACCTATGTTTCAGCACTAGTTTAATCAAAAGCCTTTGCTCTGAAGTTATTATACCTGCACACTGCACTMTGATACCACTGAGAGGTAAGTGAAACCCTTCAACATCTATAAACCACGAGGTATTGCCTGATACAGACACAACCAAACACCTACACTTCCCTGCCAGACAGACAGACATCCCCACCAGCTGCTGTGAATGTCAGTCTTTTGAGACAACACCAGGTAAGTCGTACTAACAAAATGGTGTGTGTGCCTAAAAAAGCATTTTAAAAGCCCGACTTTTCTGCCACATATCTCTCTGTGTAAAAATGTCCAGTTCCTACACACAGCAATMATTTTTTAGATAGCGACCCCTACGAAGCGCTTTGTCTGGATTCAGCAACAACTAAGAACTTTTAGAGCTGACCTGCAGATAACTCAGCTGTCTCATTTTTATCACCTAGGTAAAGCCAGTGGGAATCAGAAGACATAATTTCTATTAATTTAATCTTTGTAAATCTTTTCTTCACGAGAAGGCAGAGCAGCCAGGCACGTAAATGTTAATGAAGTACTCCTGACGCTGTCAGGCAGAGATCAATGCACTACGATTGATTTCAGCATTCAAACTCAACTCACGCTCAATATTTGAAATTTCAACAGCTCGTTAAACAAAGAGAAAACACACAMCAAGCGAGTTATTTATTTATGATCACCACAGAAGAACCTGAGCACGGCAGCAGTATCACTAAAGGKGCACAGAGCAGGCAACGTAGACTTACAGAAAACAGAAATAAAAGCACCATGCCCCTTAAGGCTCATTTTCCTTCTTATACGYCAACTCTGTATTTTAAAGCCTCCTTAAAAAACTTCCCTCAAACCCCTTCATATTATCTCCAGATGATCTTTTATTTACACTATTTCCCATGACCTGTCACCCTTCCATCAGAGCAGTTTCTCTGCAGGAACAAAAGCTTCGGCCCAGCACCCCGAGGCGCTTCCACACTCCTGGCCGGTACATGCCCTACCCGGGACAGGTCCGGGAAAGGGGACGGCCCTGCCTGGGGAGAGCGGGGCCGCCCCGAGCGGCCTGTACCCACTTTCAGCAAAGCTTCGCCTCCCACGCCGCCCCCCGCCCGGGATCGGCCGCGCCAAGTGGGGCTGCCCAGGGGGAAGGGGCTGCCCAGGGGGAAGGGGAGAACCGCGGGCTGCCMCCGCCACCGCCGCCCCCGCCTCGCCTCACCCGCCGCCCCGACCGCCGCGCTGCCTCACCCGCTGCTCGCGCGGCCGCTCGCGACCCTCCCCCGACAGCCAATCSGCGGCCGCCTCGGCGCCAAACCGACCAATCGGAGGGGCGGCGGCGGGAGGGGAGGCGGGACATGGCGCGCGCTGGCGGGGGCGGGGCGATACCCGGCAGGCGCCGAGCCGGCAGGGGGCGGGGGAGCCGTCCAGCCCCGCCCACTCCCTGCGTAAGAGATCACGTGATTGGGGCCATCCAATAAGCGCGCGGTCCCGGCAGCGCAATGGCCACGGGCAGTTTCGGTTCCGGTGCCGTTCCTGTGCCGTGGCCACGTGGGCCTCGGTGTCATCTTCCAGGCAACTAGCGAACGGGACAAAAGGAYACAGCCTCAGGCTGTGCCACAGGAGGTTTAGGTTGAATATCGGGAGGGATTTGTTCACAGAAAGGGTGGTTAAACTTTGGAATGGGCTGCCCAGGGAGGTGGTGGAGTCCCCGTCCTTGGAGATGTTTAAGTAAAGACTGGATGTGGCACTCCTTTCCGTGGTCTGGTTGMCATGGTGGTATTCCGTCATAGCTTGGACTACAGGATCTCAGAGGTTTTCTCCAGCCTCATTTATTCCGTGATTGTGAGGCGGTGTCGGAACGGCAGAGGCTCTCCTTTGTGACCGCGGAGCCAGCGCTGCCGTGTCCGCCTGGAGCCGCGCTTGAGTGGTGGCCGGGGGCTCTTCCTGGGCTCCTCCGCAATCCCGGCGGTGGCTGGGGGCTCTTCCTGGGCTCCTCCGCAATCCCGGCGGTGGCTGGGGGCTGTTCCTGGGCTCCTCCGCAATCCCGGCGGTGGCTGCTGACGGTGCCCGGCGCTGCTGGTGGCCTGCGGCTCCTTGGGGTGCGGGTGTCGGCTTGCAGCACCTCCAGTGGCTCTTAGGGTGGTGTCAGCTGTGTCCCATGGAAACGATGTGGAAAGGATGGGCAGGACCCCTGGGGGAATCGGGCGGGAAGTGGGGATCGCTGGGGGCCAGAGGGCTCAGAGGGGGCTGCGGGATAGAGGGGAACTTAGGGTGARTTTCTTGGTGCTGAAGTGATTTAAGGATTACCTAGGGGGTGTTTTCAGCTTTAGAAACATACTGAAAACTTTACTCCAGCGTTTCAAAATAAGGTGCAAAGGTGACGTGTAGTGGAGGAACGTGGAAACTGAAAACCTTTACAACTTGGAAGGGATGGGGACCCAAACCTTCCTAAAGGATCAAGATGTTGCACCTGGTACTGTTAGAGATTTTTTTTTTAAGCCCTAATGATGCCTTGATTCTACATTAACCAAATCTAATTGTGGGCGTCTCATGGGGTGGGGATTACCCACTTCAGGTTTCAAAAGGGGATGAGCACTCCATGTCCGTACAGCATCAGGTGTGGTTCACACTGTATTGTTTTATAGTACACGTTACACTTTATCTAAGCAGTACATTTAGCTTTTGGCGGTGACCGTCTCTGGCGGGGAAAAAAAAWAATCCAAAACAAACGGGGCAGCGCGGAGCTGTTTCCGGGCTACAACCCCCGGACTACACCTCCCGGCCTGCACCGCGCCGCTCCCAGSAACAAAGCGCCGCGCGATTGGCGGAGAGCCTCGCTCGGTACGGGCCAATGGCGCTGCGCGGTGTTGCGCTGTGCCGGGTCAGGGCGGGCTCCGGTGGGTGGTGCGGTCGCTCTTGTCCCGGTGGTCAGCCCGCGGGTGCTCCCGGATCGTCTCCCGTGCTATTCCCGTCGGTCTCTGCACGCCGCGCCGCCCCGCGGGACATGGGGGCGCGGGGCTGAGCTGCTAGCCCGCCCAGGGACGTCTTCTGCGACGGTACGGCCCTACCGGGGAGGGGAACAGGCCGCRCCGGGAAGGGCCGTGAGGGGGCGGCGTGTGCGGCCGAGGCCCCCTGCTTTCCAAACACGTCCCGGAGCGCCTGGTGGCTGAGGGGCTGGGTCTCCGCCGGCCGCGGGGCCTRGAAGCTGAGCCTCAGGGCCTGGTCCCAGCTGGGATGAGGCCTCCGCCGCCTGTGGAGAGCTGGCRGAGAGGGGCTGTGGAGGTTTCTCTCCAGGGCCGCCCCGGCGACRGCACAGAGCGCAGGGGGAGAGCGTCAAAGAGATAGAGCTGCGGTGTCTCGGTTAGGCTTTCATCTCAGAGCTACGAAGAGCAGAGAGCAGCCTGCATCTGGCTCGCTGCTCTGCCAGACTCCTAAATTCTAGATAACTTACTATAACTTTTATGGGCACCTAATGTTTCTAATTAAAAACTCCCAGAAGGAGGTGGGGCGGGAGTTTTCATGGAACTGGTTGTTGCGGGTCATGCAGAAGGTGAAGATTTCTGGAGTCCCTGCAGTTGTGGCTGAGGAGAAGTGGAGAAGGGTCTGCGGCTAACACAGAATCATGTAATTGTTTGTGGTGGGAGGGACCTTAACATGGAGTTCCACCCCCTCCTTTGCCAAGTATGCCTTCCCCTAGACCAGTTTGTTCAGAGCTCCATCCAGCCCAGCCTTGAACACTGCCAGAGATGGGGCATCCACAACACTGGGCAACCTGTTCCAGTGCCTCACCACCCTTACAGCAATAATATCTAAAACACCTTCCAACACCTAATCGAAACTGACTACCTTTCTATTTAAAGCCATTACTCCTTGTCCTGTCCTTGCTTTATGCCTTTGTAAAATGTCCCTCTCCATCTTTCTTTAGCTCCTTTGAGATGAGTGTGGCCTAATGGAATAGGAGAGGGTAACAGTTMCATGTTTTTTKKTTTTTTTTTTCCCAGAGGATTAGAAGGAAAAAGGCAAAAGGTGATCAGGATGGAAAGAGTTGTAGGAATGGTCTGGTGCGTGGGACACAGACCTGGGAGTCAGAGACTTTGATTGGCATCAGCCTCACAATTGACTTGATTTTTAAAGTTTTGAATAAGATCCTTTGTGAACTCACCAGAGTTGCTTTGGTTTTGTTTGACTGGTGGTTTTGTTTGCTGAGGKTTTTTTTTTTGTTTTTTTCTTAATTTAGAGTTTTTCCTTTGGAAACACAAACTGATTTATTGGTTGAGCTTCTGGATCTCTCAGTTTCTTTTTTATTTCTGAGAGTCAAGAAAAATAGTCTGGAGACCAATCATTGGGCTGTATTTTTCWTTCTGGCACTCTTGCCTGAAGTAAGAAGCATTGACTTAAAGGTTAATAGCATTTTTTCTATGTGAAAACGTTAGAAAATGTCATAATCCAAATGCATGTTTATGGTTCATTGTTTTTGATGAGTGTAATAGGTTTATATTCCTTAGAGGCTGACCTTCAGTGAAGAAAATCTATGTAATATTGGCAAATGATGTTAAAATAAGGTGACCACTTAAAATTTTTTCTTGTTTTTTATTTGGGGTAAAATGAGTGATTTAACAAATTAACAGTATGATTCATTCCCACTTTTGTGCCATAGGTTACTTGACTGAGTTGATACTGACAACAACCAGGACTGCAGTCAGCATTTAGTAGTTTCTGAGGCACAAAGAAACTGTTTTTTTGCATCAAGATTTTAGCATTTTCTCTGAGTAAAGGTATACTTTTGTTGTCTGCTAAGTAGTTATTATTAAACAACTCTGGAATCTGATACTCTCAAGCTAACACGTGTCTTCTTTGAAATTGATCTGGTGGCTTGGACTTCGACTGGAGCAAGGCGTGACCTTCTTGCTCTCTTTGTATTGAAAGCTACTACTGAAAAGGAGATAAAACAACTCAAATCCAGCCTCTAAAGCTCTTTCTGTCTTTGAATGTATGGCATTACACCAGTTACTTGATATATAAATGAAGAGTAGAGCTTCATGTTCACTGTTCTTGATGCATTGTTAATGTTTTGTTGACTTTGGTTCATTTTTCTGTGAAATTCTTTGATTGCCAAAGGTGCTCTGAAAATACTTACTTTGAATTTACATGTTTACACAGAGGGATGTTTATAGACTTCTAGGGTGCCTTGTTATAAAACTGGATTTATTGAAAACATTTGTCACTAGTGTAAAGGAAAAAAAAAASCACACAATACTCCCATTAAGATTGACTGGTCTGAAATTACATATAGGAAACAAATAAAAATCTTCTTACCTAAATATTTGTGTTCTTTGTGTAGGAAGTTTAGATTTGCAGTTTATAAATTCAAGACCCACATCCTTATAAATTCCATCCACCTTCYGTGGATTCTAGTCCTTGGGTTTTTTATACCTTTTTGTTTAGAACAAATCAGTGCCTTTATGCTTTTTTTTGTCTGTGTTTTAATTGATGGTAAATGTGGTAATAGTAAATATTTTTTCAGCAGGCATTTTGTATGAATGGTGCAGAAAAGATGAATTCTGCTATGAGTGAGGAGCCTGATGCCCTATCTGTAGTTAACCAACTCCGAGACCTAGCTGCTGATCCATTGAACAGACGGGCCATTGTTCAGGATCAAGGATGCCTGCCAGGTCTTATTCTKTTTCTGGACCATCCCAACCCTCCAGTTGTTCATTCAGCTTTACTAGTAAGTATTTTGGAGATAAATTTCTATATTTTCAGGCATTTTTAAACCTTGTTAAACAAGTTGTTTAAACAAGCAGTTTACAAACAAAACTGTTTAAACAATTTGTTTWAACAGTAAAAATGTGAAAAATAATAGGTTCTTCTATATTATCTTGATATTCCTTACCTGTGTTCTTTAAAGAACGTGTATTTCAGAAATGACATTTTGTTCCAGAGGTTTTTTTTTTTAAAGATATTGATTTGCTTTGCATTTTTTTGCCAGTACAGCTATTTCACTTTTTGTGTGGAGGGATGTGAGGACCCTTAAATCTCTTCTTAAGATGAAGTCATAGAGCTTGATAAATATGGGTAGTGATTTGATATTCATATTATAAAAACCAAATTCCAGTCATAGGTGAGAAACAACCTCCCAAGGTGATGTAGTGCAATCCCATGCCCAAATTAAGTTCAATGAGATCACTGCTCGTGGTTGTGTCGTTCATCCTCGAAGGATGAAGATTCCGTAGSATCTGTGGCATGCTGTTCCATCATGTGACCACCCTCATGGGATTAAAGA